CCTGAAAAGATTTTTTCTTAGGATTGAGGTTACCAGGATAATTGTTCAAAAGTAATGTAAATTCGTTATTACTACTTCAGTATTAAAATTGTACCTGAAATGAGGAAAAAAATTGAAAGTATCCGTATTGTTAGCGTAAACTCTTATTTACATTTTTTCTTTCATTGGAATTTAGAATATTTACGCTAGAGTTTATCTTTCCTGACTGGTTTAGAATCATAAAAGTTGTACTGTAAATCGAAAGTATTACTGTAAATATAGCGCCAATAGCCTAATGGTTTGGGGTACGGACTACCGATCTTGCGGTCGAGGGTTCAAATCCTGCCATTCGACTATTGTCGTGTACCATATCCTAGCACAAGCTTAGTTGGAATGGTTAAAGAAAATATTAGTAAATTAATAAAAATCTAGTAATATTTTTCTTCAAAAAAAATCAATTAAGGAAAAAGACGAGAGGGTTAAGTCTTTCAACTCAAGAATGTTTTCCACATTGAAAGTATTCAAATAATGAGAATAAATCAATCATGCTTATTCCGTTTTCCTAACCAAATTTAGCAAACCGTTTAAGTTAAAAAATATTAACAGTGGTCGAGCCCGCTTTAACATCTTCGCACGGATGGTTCGGCTTGCCCGGTGTAATACCACGACCACACAGAAAACAGGCGTAAAGTAGAAGCAATTCCGCGTTTCGACTGATGAGTGTGGTGTCGGAGGCATAATTTTAGTCTCTTTCGCTTTCTACCCTTTTCTTCAGAGGAAAGGATGGGAAAGAAAAGTGGATTTGACGGTGGAGAAGACGCATGGGAAGGGGAAATGTCCTCTTTATGTGCGTCTCCTGATCCATCAATTAAGGGTAGGCAACGCATCTGCAATTGCGGATGTTTATGGGCAGCGGTCGCTTTTCATTTCGGTGGATTCAGGTGGCCGCTTACTCGTTTGCCATCTTATATTATAAAAAAAAGTACGCCAATGTTTCTGCATGTAAGTAAAATCTCATTTCGTTTTCAGTTAGAGCACGTTTTTATTCATCAAATAAATTATAATTAAGGTATATATTAACCACTAAATATAGCATGTGGGTCATAAATCACCTTTTTCCATACCGTTTCGTATTGTATGGGTTTTTCCAGCATTTGTTCCACTAAGTCTATTGTTAACAAAAACTAGGCGCAACTTCGACTTAACACGTCTCGTATATAAGTTAGATGAGTAATCATTTACGTACATTATGTAAATAATGATTTTCCGTGATTTCTTACACGGATGTTAAAAATCGATTAAAAGCGCTTATGACCGCTGTATTATGAAGATATTCTAGAAACCAAGTTTTAAATCTCTACTTTTAACAGCCTTTGATTTTTTTTTAAATAATTTGTCCTATTATAGTATATTCTCAATTGTTTGAAAAGTTCTATTTATGTTAATTTAACATTCTATTTCTCCATCCAGGGATGGAGAAGACTAGCTAGGGACAGGGAATTATGGAAGAATCTAGGGGAGGCCTATGTCGAAGGACAACCTGACAAAGTAAATGTCAATATAATATGTCAATATAAGGATGCTGAAAATAACTTGTATACATATTGTTATTTCTTAATTTTAAATCATTTTTTTTCTGTACATCACATTTAAGAGTTAAATCTATGTAAAAAAAAATTGTCAGAGAATAAAGGCTTATCTTATCTTATCTTAATATTCTATTTGAAAATATTAATATGTGTGCCAATATGGTACAATTTAACTAACAAACGCGTTTATTGTTGTAGACTTATTTTCTACTAGCTGTTCTCTTGCGGCTTCATCCGCATGAAATTATGAAAATTTATTATTGTTCACATTTGTCAAATTATCAATATCAAATGTCAAAATGACATGAGATGATGACATAGCATCGCAACCTTGCTTCCTTGATGTTGGCAGCAACTTATGGTCTCTTTCCCACATTAGGGTTTTTATCCAAAATAAGTTTAATAGCGTGAAAATATATAGCCTAAAGCGTGACGCAAGTGTAGGACTTTTTATTAAAAAAAAGTATTATTCAAAGATATGCTGTAGTTGCTGACATCTTAGGCAACGAAGAAGTGTGTGTTTACGCTTTATTATAATAGTATAGATAGCTTTTTCTCGCAAGGCTTATATAGTTTTCATTTGTTCCAGGCAATTTACCTCGAAAAGAACAAGATGTTATTCAAAAGTATATCAGAACGCGTCAGATATCTTCCATACACGATGGGAATACCGGATTAGAACCGACAACAGGTTTTAATGAAAGAAAGTATGCAACGTAAAATTATAGCGGTGAGAGTCTAGCGATATATTTATTAATAAGGGAAAAAAACACATTGTAAGCCAGAACCTAGCCAGGTTAGTGGTAGCGAATGGAAAAGAGATTAAGGGCCTTTCCCACCACTGGCTGATAGAGACTCAATGAACTTAAAAATGACGTCCCTGTCAGATAACGTAACCAAATCCGACATTTTACACATTGGATTGGTATTAAACAATTTACAATTATGTGGGACAGGTCCTAAATCTTAAGAATACAAACGACAGACTACAGAAACGATATTTAAAAATATAACATCTTCAATGAATGGCCATGGTTAAACTCCAAATTTCGAATCCTAACAATGTAAACGGTGCTTACGATGCGAACTGTTTAACGTTCCATTATTTAGTCGTAATTATACCGCTTAAAAATTATACCCTTTTTGGCGCAGTTTGTTTAAGGTTCTGGTCCGTCCGGAGCTGGACATTCTTGTAATAGTCGTCCTTTGTTGTTTCTGCATTTAATAGCATTATTACATTGTTAAAAAAAATGGTTTCTATCAGCTACCTTACTCAAATAGTTGACATCTTACGTGTAAAAGTATTAATTGATTGTCATAAAAACATATTCGATTGTGTATTGTTTGTCATAAAAAATCTAAAATGCCGTGAGAACATTCGTTGGTAGAGTTTTTACTAGACTTAGTACACGAATACTTCAAAAGAGGAGAGATTTGTTTGTTTATACGATTTTAGATGTACATTATCAAAAATTACACAAAGAATAGATTTTCTTAATAACTATCCAAGTATTCCAAATAAAAAGTAAGGTAAGGTGTATAAAATTAAAGCCCAGCCAATTCCTTAAGGCAAAAAAGTCTTCGTTCTTTAACTTCATTGGCATCATTCTGAGAATGTTGTATAATTTTGTATATAAGACGTGATTATTTTTTATAAATAAATCTATACTAATATTATAAAGAGGAAAACTTTGTATTTTTGTATGTATTGAAATAACTCAAAAACCACTGGGCCGATTTTAAAAATTCATACACCATCAGTAAGGTAATTTATCTGTGAGTGACATAGGCTATATTTTATTAATACTAATGTTTAGGAACTATTAATAAACAGCGTGTTTCTGGACGCCAGCGTTAAAAATTCACTAAACTTTAACTTTTCTCGCCTTACGCTGCCTAAACCGTTAGAGGTATGTAAAAATGATGTATGACAGAATTGTAGATCTTAAAAAGTTCTACAGAAAAGTCTGCGACAGCATATATCTATCTTTAACGGTTCTCTTACAATAACCACTTATTTGTTTACAAAAAGAATTAAAAACCTCACGCTATTTGCAGCGTTCTTTTATTGGTTTCAATATTGTTTCTTATCCAAATAAATGGGTTTGTTATTAGGAAAATTTAATGTAGAATAAAATTGTCCTTTCCACTATTTAAATTGGACTAATAGTTTAGAAGATATCGCAAACACAAACAATAAGGGTAATCGAAAAATCAGCTTACAAGGTACCGGGCTTAGAAATTTGGAATCTTGCATCGGTAGATTTCTGTTATTACGTAGATTACTACTTAGTTAATACTTTTGGTAATAGGTTGAAAAAAGGTTATATTTGTAATTTTACGCGGGCGAAGTCAAGAGCAACAGCTAGTTTTTTATAAATTACAATTGATTAGCTTTCGCCCGCGACTACGTCCGCGTGGAATTATGAGACAAAAGTAACTAGTATCCTATTTTTCCAGATTATTATGCTGTTCATCTGTGCCAAATTTCATCGAGATCCGTTCAGCAGTTTATGCTACAAACTCATACATCCATCCATCTAAACTTTCGCATTTATTTAAAACAAACGAAAAAGGAACCTCCATTTTACAAGTAATGAACAGCTTGTGTTCTGGATGTAAATGTTAAAGTCTATACTAATATTAAAGTGGAAAGATTTGTATTTTCGTATGTTATTGATTCATGTAATAACTACTGAGCCGAGTTAAAAATTCTTTAGCCATTAGAAAGGTGATATATTTGTGAGTACTATAGGCTATATTTTTTATGTCAAAGTCGCGAGTGACAGCTAGTATGTTATTTTTATACAGTTAAAAAGCTCTTGGCTTCGCTTGTTTTTATGTGAACAATGATAATGACAGTGAACTTTTAAAAATGCAATGCGGTCATCGGCACACGCGAAATCCGCGCGCCTTTGCCGGTTTTATTCGCTGTTAACTCGATCTTTATTTCTTTACAGATTAAATTTAAAGTGTGTATGCATGTTAATTTATTTATATTCTAATTAATTTTAATATTTTCCATCTTTATTTGTTACAACTAATAATTCTTTACTTAAATATTAGATGAAAATAGATTTTTTCATACATACAAATAAATATTCATTAGTGAAGATTTGTATGTATGAAAAAATCTATGAAAATGAAAAAATGTGACTGACTGACACTGACACATGATGACTCTGAGTGGAAATAGAGTTGCTAATGCCCGTCTTATTAACAACATTAAGGTGAAAACTAAAATGGCTTCCTTTTGCATTTTATAGGTACTTCGGTAATAAAATGTAAATAATTAACAATTATTTTTTACAATTGGTTTGTAATAGTTTTACTTATTGTAAGTATTGTAAAGGCCATGGTGGCGTTATTAATATTAACAAAAATATCCTTAAAACTCATTGATGTACAGATTCAATATAAACAAACAAACGTTGTCCACACGCAGTCGGTGTCGTCTCCCGCGCCTCTTCTAACGTGCGCGTCTCGCGGACACGGAAACAGCTTTTTAATCTGTAGTGACGTTGTTTCCCGCCCTTTTTGGTATGTTTTTTTTATTTTTTAAAAGGGCAATGATATATTCATTATGCCAATTAAATAATGCTAAATTTGTTTTGTAAAATTTTAAAAATAAACTGGGCGTTAATAGTGTATGTTTATTAATATTTTGTGAAAAACAATCATTATTAATTAAATGATGTTTTAAATTTAGATTAACTTACATGTTCGAATTAAAACTATTATAAATGTTAGAAGGTTTGTAAATTATCTAAAATAGAATGGATCAGATATTAAATTCTTGACAAAATTAATAATAACGATAGCGACAAAATCAATTAAACATTAATGTTATTTTACTTACAATCCGTACCAATCCTTATACGCTGCAAAATATCGCATTGACTGGTATCAAAGTGTGTCAACCACGGCGCGCCATATTGCGGACACCGTTATATTTTCTTTATTCTGAGATTGGTTTAGCTTTAAATGTATGTTAATTTGCCTCGTTTATATTGTTCCAGTAACAAGCTTAAACTGACTTGCAGCAAATAACCGTGGGTCTAAGCAACAAAAACGCATTATTGTCCCTGCTCGATCAGAGACACGGTTTTGTACAGGTCTTTTCGACAGTGGAAACCCACGGTGTCAAATGACAAATTTAAATAAACAATGATTAGTGATTTAAAAAAGTTTTAATAGAATTGATTAATTTTATTAAAATAACTAGCTGTTCCCGTGCGGCTACATCCGCATGAAATTATGAAAATTTTACTTTATTGTTTACATTTGTCAAATTATCAATAGCAAATGTCAAAATGACATGACATGACAAACCTTAGCAATCTTTCTTTCTTGATGTTGGCAGCAACTTATGGTTTCTTTCCCCACGAGGGTTTTTATCCAAAATATTTAACTCCTAAGTTTAACGGCGTGAAAATATGTACCCTAAAGCATGACGTAAGTGTAGGGCTTTTTATAAAAAAAAGTATTATTCGAAAATATGCTGTAATTGCTGACATCTTAGGCATTATAGGAGTTAATCTAATGCGATGTAAAACAATAGATATTTTTCCCTATTCTGACGTGAAATGGATATCGTGTTCTAATTTAATTTTAAATTGTAATCTGATTTACGATACAACTTACTTTAAATCGCTAAATTACAAAACAAAATAAAAAATGTAACTATAAGTAATTATTAAATATTGTAAAAAAAACTATATGTAGATATTCTTTTGTTATCATATTTTTATCGTGTTTCTGTATTTTGTAATTAAAAAAAATAAATGTTGTTTCAGAACGTCACTTAAAAATGATACGTTCCGCAGAGGTGAGTAATTACTTATTACGCTAAATTACTATATCATATTTACTATATGTTTTTCTTCTATTAATTTGAAATTATACTTGATACTTCATACTAATGTTATAAATGCGAAAGTTCAGATAGATGATTGTTAGTTAGAGTTTGTAGCCTAAACGGATGTACGGATTTCGATAAAATACGTTACGATACGATCGAACACATAGGAACACTTTTTTTTATATTTCAAGCAGACGGAGTCGCGGGCGACAGCTAGTCACTCGGAAGTTTAATTGTTACACAATTTCATTGATAGGGAATTATTACTAAAGATTTACTACGGAAACAAACCATGTTTTGCGAGATCGCTCACGATACCCGCATACCTTTGTAATTAATCTGAATTACGATCGATTATAAAATTCTGTAGAAGCCTACGCAAGATTTAATTGTCATAGAATAAAATATGCCTTCTTTTATTATATAATTATGATTTCCTTCCTAACTTCTTTTTTTGTTCCGCTCTATTATATGATAATCTATGTTTTTAAGAAAGTTTTAATAGTGGTAGGGTCCGCTTTAACATCTTCGCACGAATAAGCCGGCTCGCCCGGTGAAATACCACGACCTCACAGAAAACAGGCGTGAAGTGGAAGCAATTCCGCGTTTCGTCTGATGAGTGTGGGGCCGGACGCCTAATTTTGGTCCATCTTCCTTTCCACCCTTTTCTTAAGAGAGAGGGATGGGAAGGAAAAGTGGATTTTACGGTGGACGAGACGCATAGGAAGAGGAAATATCCTCTTGATATTGTCTCCTCTACTGTCGATTTAGGGTAGGCAGCGCATCTGTATTTGCGGATGTCTATGGCATTTCGACCGTTTCAGGTGGCCGCTTACTCGTTTGACAGTTAATATTATATAAAAAACGTCAAAAAACACTAGAAAAAAATTAGGTTAAAGATTTACGTGGGTGTAATCAAAATCAATGGGAATAAGAAACTGCTTTACATGTGACTAGCACTGATTTCTATGGATTTTTTTAAGAAGTTTAGATTGATCTAAACTTCTTAAAAAAATCCATCAATGATACAAAATATGATTTAAAACAAATAAGTGTGGTCTACGGTTTTAACAATAAAATAACCACATGTGTCGCTTCTTAATAGTTTTATTTAATTTATTTTTAAAGGTTAACTATATTTTAGCTTTACTTAAGTAGGTTATGATTTAGTTCTTAAGTTATTCTTAATTTTAACACATTTCAAAATCTTGCTACTTTATGTTGATTCTTTTCAGATTTTTTATTGTTTTTTTTGTTACGACTAATTTGGTTATATAATTACGTTACTGTTTTGTACAGATTACCGAAACTGTGCAGTCAAATGTAATTAACCTTCGTTAGTTTTTTTACTCTGTTTGCATCGTGACGGAGAATAATTATTCTTATGTTTTAAACAAGAACCATGTACATAATTACACTATTTTTAGGTAATTCAGCATGTATCAAAGAATATTATTTTCTGTTAAATAGAATATTTGGGTAGAAAATAATAGTGATAATGTTAGAAAAATAGGCTGATAAAAGTGTATGAAAGGGTACATACAGTGCGGACTGTAGGGTGACCATGATGTGGGTAAAGTTCGTAAATTTGTCCATTTTGTGATGGCCTTTCATTTGTTCTCAGACGTGCCAATGCCCGATACGAGAGATAGGTCCTGCAATGGCGGACTCTTGCTCGGGGCATTCGGTACTGTTGTTCATGACTGTACTGGAAGCGTTCATCAATGGCCGCTGCGACCTTGCCGATCCTTGCAACCGCCTCGATAACAAAGACAATCCTGACGATGATTACGATTTTGTTGTGATCGGTGGCGGCACGGCAGGCTCTGTAGTCGCTGGCAGGCTCTCAGAAAACCCGCAATGGAAGGTATGTTTAGCGTTATTTCGTAGTAAAAAATCGGTCTGTAGATTCAAGTAAGATTCATTTTAAAACCCGCTTTCGTTTGTCTTCTATACATATAATAAAATTGAAGTGTCTGTTTGTAATAACAAAAGAAAAATTCTAGATATCGGGAATACATATAAATCATTACTTGCGTTGCTGATAACGAAAATCGCATTTAAAAAAAATTTTGTCTAACTGTCTATCTGTCTGTCCTCAAGCCGCGTTTGCTCCGGGCAATCTCCGAAACGGTTGGACTGATTTTAATTGGACTTTTCACTGGAGGGTTACTTACATGGACGGGAATATATGAGTTACATTTTTTTAAGTCCGCGCTGTCAAAATGGCGACCTTTATCTCTGTAACGGTTGGACTGATTTTAACGCGACTTTGGAGGGTAGATGCACACGGAAATGTTCTGCGCTAACGAAGTTTGGGGGCTATAGCTCGTTTTAAATATATATAAAAAGTTATTCGTATTGAAGGTTTTCTCTGTGTTAGGTGCTACTATTAGAGGCCGGTGGAGATGAACCCTTGTCATCATCAGTCCCGGCTTGGGTGACAGCCTACTGGGGGCGAAATGACACCGATTGGATGTATTACACCGAGCCCCAGGAGAAGGCATGTCTCGCGGATGGCGGCAAGTGCTACTGGCCTAGAGGGAAATTACTTGGTAAGTTACTTGATTATCATGAGTTAGACGGGAAAAGATTGTTATAAAATGAATCTGTACTTACTCTTAATAAGATCGGACGCACATCTGAGACTGAACTATTTTACAACTGTTTTGCGATTGTCTATTGTTTTACAGCTAATTTAATTGTTTAGTTAGTAATGTGCGCACCTCCGTATAAGCTCATAGGAATGAAAGCACGACTGAAATGTTGTGCGATAGTTTAGTCAAAGGTGTGCGTATAGAACCAAGTAAGGTTATTTATCGTATTTTGTTTTTTGTCAATTCTTGTGTGTTTTCTATTCTATTTTGCAATGATCTTTAGTAAACCTAGCATGTTGTTTGAAGCTGTTTTTTTATAATTTCACTTAACAAAGATGTGTTCTATACAGTGGTTAAGATACATTGTTTTAATTTTTTTTATGTAAGTTGTAAAAACCCACTAATAAAATCGTTATGAATAAATAAATAATTGAAGGATTAATTTTATGTTGCACGAATATCTAAATAAAATGTACAATGAATCATCAAAGCAATCTTAAGAAGAAACATTATTAAATCGTGATTTTATTACGTGATAATTATAATAGTCATTAGGGAGAGGAAAATCTACACCGGCGATACTAATGCAATGCTAGTACTATCCAATGTGCTAGTTATATAATTATACTAGCTGTTGCTCGTGATTTCGACCGCATGAAATTATGTTAGTTAACCTATATTACTTGCAGTATAATTACCTTTCTAACGGTGAAAGAATTTTTAAAATCGGCCCAGTAGTTTTTGAGTTATTTCAAAACATAGAAAAATACGAATCTTTCCTCTTTATACCATTAGTGTATATATAGATTAACTGTTTCTTGGGTAACAACTAAGTAGAAGTTACAGATTTAACATTGTTACGCTCTCTCTACAGTCGACATTTAAATAAGTTAACACGAGGGTTACCATTAACTCTAAAACACTTCCATTGAGTCCACGAATTTTAATATCGACACCAAACCAATCCCAACATAATTTTCTAGACATACATTTTATGCTTATCTTGGGTATAACATTTTTTTAAAAAAAATTGCTAATATCATTAATACAAAAGTTTAGATGGACGGATGGAAGTTTGTTAGAAGGTATCTTTGGAACTGTTCAACAGTTCTCGATAAAATTTGGCACATGTAGATCATAGCATGGAAGAACACTTAGGCCGCTTGATAAGTTTTTATTAATTCCGCGCAGACGGCTCACGTTTAAAGTCCCTTTTTAGTTTAGTTTCCTTCCCTTTTCTTATAAGGGAAGGATAGGTGGAGGAGACACATAGGAAGGGACAATTGCAATAATTTATGTGCATCTCCTCCTCCATCTCCAAAAAAGCTGATAAAAGTGGTACGTTGAATTTAAAACTAGAGAAGACTTTTAGAAGAAGAAGAAAGATTTGAAATATTTCAATATTGTCAATATCAGGTGGCTGTTCAACAATAAACGGCATGATGTACATGCGGGGCCACCCCGCGGACTACGACGGGTGGGCGGTGAACGGCGCGCACGGCTGGTCCTGGCACGAAGTCTTCCCCTACTTCCTTAAGAGTGAGGACAACAAGGAAATTGGTAGCGGTGTCTCCGGACAGTATCATAATATCGGTGGACCGATGCCTGTACAGAGAGTAAGTACTCATAAAGTTATTAGTAAATCTCTTATACCATGTACTAAATACATTGCTTTATAAATATAAGATTCCGAAAACCATAGATTAATCTTTTTTTTTGATTTTTAATTATTTTGACTAATAATTTGTGTTCCTGAACGATATACTACTTTATCATTTACCATAGAAAATATTAAAGCAAAAACAAAAATTGCATTAAATGTGATTTTTTTCGAAAGATTTGAATAAACCACAAGTTTAAAGGTTAAAGTAGCGAATGCATTTATTTATTTGTTTAAGGAAGTTTTAGTAACAACGGGAAATATGAATAATGATGGTTTCAGTTCCGTCACGCGCCGCAGTTCGCTCACGACGTGGTGGCGGCCTCCATAGAGCTAGGTTTCCCACCTACTGGCGACCTCAACGGGGAGAGCACCACTGGCTTCACACTGGCACAGGCCTTCAATGAGTTAGTTTAATTTATTTTAACTAAACAAATCGATACTCTATCATACTAATATTATAAATGCGAATATTTAGATGGATGGATGTTTGTTAGAGTTTGTAGCCTAAACGGCTGAACCGATTTTGAGAAAACTTGGTATAGATGTAGACGATGGAAGAACACATAAGCAACTCACTTTTGGTTTTTTATTTCCACCCGAACGGAGTCGCGAAAGCTAGAACTAATTTAACGAAAGACACTACTTATTTATGTAAGATGTAAGCAATCGCAGTATATTTTTGAATAATCGTTCTTATAATAAAAAGGCTTTCACCTACGACTTGATTTAAGCAGTTTTCACGATATTAAACTTAGGATGTAAGTAATTTGAAAAAAACCGCCATGCGGAAAAGAGACAAAACTACAAGTTGACATCAAGGAAGGAAGATTGGTAACGGTAATTGTTCTCCATTGTCAAAGGCCTTCGTTGTCATTTGTGCATTTTATTTTTGGTATTTCACAAACGTAAACAATAAAATAAAGTTTTTATATAATTCCATGCGGATGGAGCCGAACGGGAACAGCTCGTACTAATATTATAAAGAGGAAAGATTTATATTTTTGTGTACATTAATAACTCAAAAACTACGGAGCCGAATTTAAAAATTATTTCACCATTAAAAAGCTATATTATCAGTGAGTAACGTAGGATTTTTTTTTTCACACGGATGTTGTCGCGTGCAACAGCCAGTGTTAAATAAGATGTTACTTTAATGCAGTTATTGACTTCCTAGTACCGTAGCTGCTGTTTCCGATGCGTTCAATTACTAGAACTAATGCATTATGTTTAAATACCCGTGAAGAGGTCAATTGAAATTCAACGACCTTTGCTTTTCAAAATCGGGATTCAAAGTGTTCATACCTTTTGGAGAAAGAGTATCGTAACAAACGTACAGAAGAATTGATTATTTTGAAAGTTGACTAAAATCTTTACTAATACAAAGAAAATAGATTTGTATTTTATATGTATTGAAATTATTCAAAAAGTACTGAGCCGATTTTAAAAATTCTTTCACTATTCAAAAGCTACGTTACTACCGAGTATGTTTTATTATTATTATTTATTTATATTATTATTACGTGGACGAAGTCTCGAGTAACAACTAGTATTAAATACCTTGTGGTGCTTAGTAAAATATTTCTTGGTTTCTCTATTGGTTACAAAGATCACTTTGTATTGAACATATTTTCTCTTTTCCTATTAACAGGGGTGGATCAAGATATACAACGTCCCGTGGTTTCCTTCGTCCAGGAGCAAGACGAGCAAATCTAGACGTAGTGTTCAATGCCCTAGGGTCTAAAGTCATTGTAGATCCCGCCACTAAGATTGTTACCGCTGTTGAATATATTAAAGACGGGGTCACGAAGACTGTTAAAGTTAATAAAGAGGTAAGTAGTAATTGACTTATGTACGTATTACTTCTTACTAATATTATAAATGCGAAAGTTTGGATAGATGTTTGTTAGAGTTTGTAGCCTAAACGGCTTAACGGATCTCGATAAAGTTTGGCATGGATATAGAGGATAGTCTGGAAGAACAGATAAGCTACTCACGTTTGTTATTTCTACTTCCGGGCGAACGGAGTCGCGGGCGAAAGCTAGTTAAGTAATAATTGACTAACGTCTTACTTATGTTATGAATGCGAAAGTTTACATGGTTCGCTAGAGTTTGTAGCCAAAACTTCTGAACGGATCTAGATGAAATCTGCCGTAGATGTAGAGGATAGTCTGGAAGAACACTTAAGCTACTTGCTTTTGTTTTCTATTCGGACGGAGTAGCGGGTGGAAGCTAGTATCATATTAAAACTATTGTAAAGTACTAATTTCTGCAATATTCACTAATAATTTTATTGCCTGTAAATGAAATCTGTTTATATTTAGATTTTTAACTAAGATTAACCACTACATCAATACTACAACCAATGTTGATTTTTTTTAAATTATATAATTAACTACATGTTTAAATTCCAGGCAATACTTTCAGCGGGTACACTCAATTCTCCTCAAATTTTACTCCTCTCTGGTATTGGACCTAAAGATACGTTGAACAAATTCAACATACCAGTCATTCAAGACCTTCCCGGAGTAGGACAAAACTTACAAAACCACGTCGGAGTTAAACTGGACTTCACTCTGATGAAGGAACCGGACTTGCCTGTGCTGGACTGGGCCGCCGCTATGGATTATATGCTGAAGAGAGAAGGACCGCTGTCTTCTACGGGAATGTCTCAGGTTAACTAATCATACTGAGTCTTTAAGTGGAACTGCAGACGTAGTACAAGAAATCTATACTAAGCGACAATTTATATAATCATTAACTGTTAATACGATAGTACCCAGTGTTACGAACATCTAATTTTAAAAAATCTATTTCATACATCACATTCATATTTCATACGCAAAAGTAGTTTTGGTACAAGTCTCCGTCAAATTAAGCCCCACAGTGTTAGGTTTAGTGTGTTTCACTGTTACTTTTAATTTAAACCTCATTTTTGATCCAGTATAGCTTCTTATAGATTTATGGGATTAGTCCCAACTGTCACCCCGCTCTGTCCCCACGTGAGAATCAAAAGTTTCATCCGTCCCACCTTTTAGTCTATCACCAATTTGGTGACAGATAGAATCGTCAAATAAAATAAGTTCCAACCGTCCTCTCATCGCAAAAGGTGGGACGGATGAAACTTTTTATTCTCATCTATATCCACGTGGGAACAGAGCAGGGTGACGGTGGGGAATAATCCGTTTTGTGTACTCCAGTTGACAGGTATGGTGAACTCGAAGTACGCGCCCGCGGGCGGCCGCCAGCCCGACATACAGTACTTCTTCGGCGGGTACTACGCGAGCTGCAGCGACGGCAACACGATAGAGCCTGCGCAGTACGCCGCTACCGACCGCAGGAACATCATGTAAGTATAGTCTACTAGTACTCGTATAGTGTACTAGTATAGCGCATTAGTACAGTGTCTTAGTATAGTGTTCTAGTGTAGTACAGTATACTTTACTATATAATATACTAATATAGTACTGCACTATCGTTGAAATTGAACCGATCTAAAGATCGGAATAGCAAAATAATGTGATACATTGTTTAAAATGCGATCAAATACTTTTTCATGCTTCATTCCATAATTACCAAGTAATATAAAGTATGCATCAATCTCCAACATCAAACAAAAGAATTAACAAGTAGTCTCTGTGTTCTTCCAGACTATGCAAAATTTCATCGAGATCCGATCAGAATTTCAGGCTGCAAACTTTTACAAACATCCATCTATCTAAACTTTCGCATTTATATTAGTAAGATTTTCTCTACTTTGAGAATAACTTGTCTAATCTTTTGTACCTAATACTCAGATTGTTTTCAACTAGACATATAAGATATCTGCTTTTATTACTAGGATAGCAGCGATAGCCCTGCAGCCTCGCAGTCGCGGCTACATCACACTGAGGTCAACAGACCCCACTGCCCCGCCTGTCATGCAGCCAAACTACTTCTGCGACGAACACGAGATGAACGTAATCGTAGAAGCAGCTAGAATTGCTTACCGTCTCGCTAATACTACGGTAAGCAGATTCCTATTAGTAAAGGTTTTAGCTAGACTTTAGTTTAAAAGCGATTCAGGTCATTTTTTTATAACATTCTGCAATTTTACCTCTTGATATAATTTGACTAACTCTTTGGTATCACATCAACGGGAGAAATGTTATACAGCGTGTTATTTAATACTAGCTATAGTCCGGGACTCTGTCCACGTGGGATTAAAAGAAAATGTTATCCTCTACATCTATGCCAAATTTGAATGGTTTTAATAATGTGTTTAAGTTATTACGAGAGAAGTACGGCATGGTACCGACCCCGGGATATGGTGACAATTGTCCTGGCGGCGGAGCCAACCCCACTGACGAGTTCTTCAGGTGCCTGGCGCAGTACCAAACGGCACCTGAGAACCATCAGGTCGGAACCTGCAAGATGGGGCCGAGAATAGACCCCATGGCGGTCGTGGACCCACAGCTTAGAGTACACGGGATTGAAGGTGACAGAAATGTGATAATTTTCTTTTTATTTGTTTTTTTTTTTATAATATTAGGAGGCAAACGAGAAAGCGGCCACCTGAATCCACCGAAATGGAAAGCGACCACAATTGCAGATGCATTGTGTACCCTTAATTGACGTAGGAGAAGACGCACATAAAGAGGATATTTCCCCTTCCTATGTGTCTCCTCCACCGTCAAATCTACTTTTCATTCCCATCCTTTCCTCTTAAGAAAAGGGTGGAAAGGGAAAGGGACTAAAATTAGGCCTCCGGCACCACACTCATCAGACGAAACGTGGAATTTCTTCCACTTCATGGCTGTTTTCTGTGTGGTCGTGGTATTGCACCGGGCGAGCCGACCCTACAGTGCGAAGATGTTATAGCGGGCTTTACCGCGGTATTTTTTACATGATATTTTTGTTTCAGGTCTTAGAGTAATCGATGCTGCAATCATGCCAACCATAACAACCGGTAAGTTTGTATTTAAATGTACGACATAGTTGTACAAAGCGTTATAAAAGCCTTGGTTATATTTTTCCTTTTTCAACGGCTTAAATTCCATAAGTATGCTAAACCCTTGGTGTTACCATATTTTCTTTTGGTTAATTAATTGTGTCGTTGTTACATTATAATCGCTCAAATGGACTTGAACCCAGAGCCGTAAATATTAATAATTTGTAAAGTGTTGTCTTCGTCACGTATTTAAAGCCTAACAGAAAAATATAAAAACCCTGGCCTGGGGGCTCTTATATCGGATTTACATTCCAGTGTACAAAGAAATTACTTTCGTATTGGACCGTAATATGGCGAGGATTTATTCCTACTTCTGACTAGACGATTATATTATAGCTGTTGCTCGCGACTTCGTCAGCGTGAAATAAAAAAAAATGTATAGCTCGTGTCACACACAGATAAATTACCTATTTAATAGTGAAAGAATTTTTGAAATCGGCCCAGTAGATTTTGAGTTATTTCATTACATACAAAAATACAAATCTTTTCTCTTTCTAACATTAGTATGGAAGTATAAGCTATATATAATAAGGTATTTTTGTAACAGGCAACACAGCAGCACCTACAGTGATGGTGGCGGAGCGCGGCGCTGAGTTTATACGAAGCAGACATCAGCTGTACAAACATATACCGTTCAGCGGACATAGAAACTATTTTGGTGATAGCTCACAGCAAGACGACGATAGGTAACTATTAAAATGAAAAAGAATAAAAGAAAAAAGAAACATATTTTTATAATAATAAAAGAAAAGGAACTCATTAACGTAACACAAGAATTACGCAACAAAAAAAAAGAAAAAAGACATAAACTGTGCAAAAGAGTACGGACCAAGAGTCTGTAGATGTAGATTTCTTTTATTTCTAAAAAAAACTACTAAAAAGTACCGACGTGTGTTTCCATATGTAACATTGTATTTACAAACTTTCGCCCGCGACTCGGTATGCGTGGACGAAAAAAAAACAAAGTAGTCTATGTGTTCTGCCAGACTATCCTCTACATCTATGACATCGAGATCCGCTCAGCTGTTTAGGTTACAAACTCTAACAAACATCCAACCTTTCGCATTTGTACTATTTATTTTTTAAATCTATTTTTTACAGACATTATATTATATCCATTGATAAAGTGGAATTGCAAGAAATATCGTTAAAACGAGATTAGTGGTATTTAGAAAATATTTCTATTGGTGTTGGTTTTTTTTAATCAAGAAATAAATAAAAGAATTCTGTACTACATTGAAACAGGATTAAAGCTTCCTAAAGGGATAATTAATCACATTTTTAATAATAATCGTGTATTATTAACAGATGGCATATCGTCCACAAGGAGGAAAAGTGGGTCAACTGGAAATGGGACAGGAACTGGAACTGGGAAAACAGACGGAACGAACAAAAACCCAATTGGATCAAAAAGCAGAACACACCTGTAGCAGCTGCTAGTAATTAAGTTAATAAAAGAATACATTTCGTTAGTCACATCTCTTTTTTAATAAACCGACTGAAAATGGATATCAAAGCCCGCTACATACCGTCAGTTGACACTTTTAACTGAAGAGAATTGTTCAATTAAAACTGTGCATCTGTCTGTTTTGCTTGTACACACAGTTTTATCTGATTTTAACTCAGTAGTTCAGTTAAACTGTCAGAACCTGTCGTTTGGTGCGGGCTTTGTCGCGGGTCGCACTAGTGGAATAAGGGCTTAACACCACCAAGATACCTTATCCACAGATAAGAGAATATTTTGGTTAATAAGAAATAAAAATCAATTTAGAAACTAAACTATTTATTTTAATTTTATAACGAAACTATTACAATACGACCAGCATTATAAATAAATTGGCACATTATGTTTGAAGAAATTGTAAAGGCTGTATTCATTCACAGAATATCTGTAAAACGTATTTAACTGCTGTAAATATATTTCTGACAAATTAAAAATAACTTAGGTTACTTCTTTATTTCTTTTTTCCGACTTTCCCTTTACCTTTCACTGGTACCGGTTCAGGTTCTGAATCCGAACTGAAAACAATATTTTAAAAAATGTAAAATACAAATAAATAAGGACATTGTTGCTATCGAAATGCCCTTTACAATTTATTGCGCATAGCCGTCACTTTGTAATATGACCAGTAAGATTATAAAACTCACGATTACTCAACAGTGATACAAATACAATCTATACATACATTTGTATTACATACTAGGTTTTTCCGGGACTCTGCGCGGAATTAAAAAAATGTGTTTTTTCCAGACTGTTCTACATACTAAATTTAATTGAAAACTGGTCTTTCGAAAAGAAATCTTTTGCATTCATATTAGTTGTATGAACTTACTCTTCGCTGCCGCTAGGTGTCTCTGGTATGGTGACGTTTCCAGACTTTTGCTTCACATCGATCAATTCGCTAGAATCTTCTAGAAGAGACTGTACCTAGAATATTTTAAATATAATTTGAAATATACATTATTTTTGCTTCAACAGAAACACAACAGTACATCATACTTTTTATATTGAAGTTTTAAAACTCTTGTAATATGTTTTAATTTATTCAAACAAATTTGCAGCCTTAAATAATAAATTTAATTTCATATCCAATAGGACAGTTACACTGGCTTGGAATGATTTGTTTTGACTCATTGGCGGCAGTTGGCGAATACTTTGTAGCTTTAAAAAAAACTTAGTACTTAGTACTAATTAAGTAGCCTATGTGTTCTTCCAGACCATGCTTTACATCTATGGTATACCAAATTTCTTAGAGTTCCGTTAAGCCGTTGAAGATATCTTCTAACAAACATCCATCCATCTAAACTTTCGGATTTATTAAAGTAACATTTTCTTACAATTTCTTTATCATATACAATAGTGTGCAGCTGAGTTTCGTCCGCAGAGTCCTCGAAGATAGAATCCTGAGAACTGGCGGCACTACTGCGGGACGATCTTTTATTTTGGTTCCCTATTAAAAAAACATAATTAAAAACCTAAACATAACTATGTTTACTACAAAAGTCTATTTTAAATGGTGTTTCAACGTTTTCAATAGTTACAATTAATTTAAATCATAACATCTTTAACAATTTTAACGTTAAAAGCGTCACCAGGGCTAAGAGGACATCTCCCTTTAGAGTCGACAACCGTAAAATAAATAAAATTACACTAAAGTTTCGACTGACAACTGCCAAAACGATTTGTTACTTATTAATTAAAATATTAGAGCGTTTTGATAAAATTATTGGAATAACAAAACTAGTTTTGTTACTAGGCCCCCACCCCCCCTTATCTCCCCCTTAATTACCGGTTAGCGACGCCCATAATAGTAAGTAGAAATATTAAAATAAATAACTAATATACTAAAACTTTGTAAAACTGACAAATACCTGTTTTAGTTTTTGGTATGTCATCACTCTTTCCACTAGAAGGTGACTCAGAAGTAGAGGCGGAGTGCGTATCTCTTCTCCTTCTCACACTCACGTTGCATCTATCTTGATCATCGGCGGGAGAGAGAGATGGAGAAAGTTTGGGAGATGTCTTCTTTTTACCTTTGGATACCTGTTTTGCTGTAAATAGTTATAATTTGCATTAATTTCAAAGGAAAAATAGTATGTAAAGTGAAATTTAGTAAAAATAACACCTTATTGCAGCTTTTCAAAGAAATTGTGAAGAAATATTGATTTTACATTTAATTATACTAATTGTACTAAAACATATTGCTATCTGTGTTTTATGCAAACAGAACGGAAGGATTTTGTACAGTCAGCTACATAAGACCACATAGTTTACTAAGTCTTTTTTTAATTCAAGAGAAAACTGTCTATATACTGTGTATATAAGTTTTGAAATATTTGTAAATGTTATGTACATGTTTATTTAGCTGACTGTACAAATATAGGTGCAGTAATACCTCGATCTACATCTTCGATAGATCGTTGCGATCTAGTTCTCTTTATGCCTTTTTCAATCTCCTTTACTTCTTCTCCTTTAGTCTTTTTCTTGCTTTGTGTCTTCTTTTCGGTCTCATTTTTTTCTGTTTTCTTGGTTGTCTTCTTTTTTCGTCCTAAACACATATGAAATAAAATTTAAATACTATAATATAAATAGCGTAAATGCAATCAAAAATATTGCAAATAGAAGGGAAATACTTTGTTTGTTAATTTATTTATTAACTAGCTGTTGCCCTCGACTTCGTCCGCGTGGTATTAGAAAACATACGAACTATATAAATAACAAAAAGCTACGTATCCCTCGGGATCTGGACATTCCTCGGGGATGAAACGTATCCCGTGTGATCTCCGGACTTTGTTTTATATCTGTGCCAAATTTCAATAAGATATGTTGAACCGTTGCAGAATGATCGAATAAACATTAAAAAACTAAATTTAATGGATCCCACGGGAACTGTAACTATTCCCGGGATAAAAAGTAGCCTATGTGTTCTTCCAGGCTATGCTCAAAACCTGTGCCAAATTTCATGGAGATCCGTTCAGCCGTTTAGGCTACAAAAGCTAACAAACATCCATCCATCCATCGTAGCTTTTGCTTTTATCATATTTATATGATTATTATATGATTTTACTTCGTTATAGACAAATATTTCGTCTTTTTCACATGATTTGATTGAAAAAGTAATTATTTTTAATACATTACCTTTAGCAACTTTAGGTTTCTTGACAGGAGACACTCCGCTGCTGTCTGAATGAACTTCATTGGGATCAGTTACAGGTGTTTCACTCTCCATAGATTTTTTAGCTGATTGTAAACTTTTATTTGTATGTTCCGGCTCTGAAATATTAATAAAATTATATATGGTCGGTTATTAGTTCAGAAAATATATGTAAAAGCCTTTATGAGGATAGAAAATGGTGTAAAATAAGTAAACATAGCAGCTACAGTCACGGGCGGATCCAGCTTTGGCGCCAGGAGGGGGTCACATAGTAGTGGTCAAGTCAAGAGCTTGACCAACCAGCTCAGGGGGGGTCATGACCCCCCGCTGGATCTGCCGTTGGCTACAGTACGAAAAACATTTTGTTCCCACGAGACTTCTCAATAAGTTAAGTTAGAGTCCTAGTGGATATACTATGCGTTTTAAATAAGAGTGTTTGCACAAAATAATTTATAGTATTCTTTGAACTAATAATGATTAAAGGTTGTATACATTAGTTATTTTCTATATGTTACCATGAGAGATTTTAGAAGGCATTTCAGTTGGGGACGTCTCGTCAATTTCTGGTTCCTCTTCAACAGTTTCGTTGATAACTACATGAGTGCTGCGACCGATCGGTTGAGCTGGAAAAATACAAATTGCCATATAAAAATTGCAGTTTCTTATCTTGTATTTAAAAATATTATACAGAATGATTTTTTTCGTCGGATCAATGGTTTTGTGAAGTTAGAGGACTATACTACAAACAGTAAACTTTACATTATTTTGGATGTACAGGCAAAATTTAATAGTATATTTGATTTTCCAATTTTTTACAAAAAACAAATAACTTTAAAACTACAGAAAATCGGGCAATATACTTTGCCCTTGAATGTGATTGCGGTCCTCTAACTCCACAAAGCCGTTGATTCGTCCGTTAAGAATCACCCTGTATAGGACATAAACTAATCATACTTCATACTAATATTATAAATACGAAAGTTTAAATGGATGGATGTTTGTTAGAGTTTGTAGCCTAAACTACTGAAGGTACTTCGATAAAATTTGGCATATATTTTTATTTGTTTTTAATTGACAGAGGACGGAGTCGCGTGTAAAAGCTAGTATCTACATATATACACTACATTACATACTACAGCTATTTGCAAAATTTATGAAAGACACATATTATTTTAAATGATTTATACTACGTGATGTTTTTTAAATCTATATTTAACATAAAATTTACTAAAAAACCTTTGTTATACTAATAATCTACTGTTATAATTTCTTTTACATACATAAATACCACTTTAGAACGAAATTGGGATGACGCCTTCTTCTATCCAAGAAAGAACGCGGTTTACCTTTATTAAAACAATCTGTATAAATTGTTTGCAATGAACAGGAAGGGAAAAATTATAAATGCGAAAGTTTAGATAGATGGATGGATGGATGGATGTTAGAGTTTGTAGCCTAAACGGCTGAACGATTTCGGTGAAATTTAGTATAGATGTAGAGGATAGTCTGGAAGAACACATAGGCTACTCACTTTTGTTTTTTTAATCTCACGCGGACGGAGTCGCGGGCGAAAGCTATTAATAATATATGGTTGATAGCTAGGATGTATGGATGGATGAGGAATCTTGATGAAATTTTGCACAGAGGTAGAACATAGGCTATTTACCATGTTTTCTTTTTCAATTACAAGAGAAAGGAGTTTCGAGTTGAGAAAAAGGTAACAACAAAAGATTTAAGATTAACTGATTGAATGAAAAAAAAATGTTTCTGTTACGTGACAAAGTTTATTAGTTTTGTATACTTACGTAAAGAGGTCGTAGTTCGCCTTGTTTGTGTCAAACTGTCTTCTACTTGCATAGTTCCTTCCGATGCAACTATAAGAGAAAGTAGGTAGAAAAGCTGCATGAGAAACCTACTTTGTGTTAACTTTATACTTTGAAATAAAATAAATTTTATCATTTTATTACCTGTGGTGGAGATTTTATTGATGGAGGATCTTTCCATAGCCTCCAGCGAGCCAAGATATCTCATAAGGTTGCGTGTCGATTGCTTCTCTGTTAGATCCTGAAAATGTATAATTTAATTTTTATTAAAAAAAATACAACACGCGAGAAAGGAACAAAACTACTAGCATCACAGAAGCAATGTTGCCATGGTTACTCATTAATAATTATCAGCCAATGGCATGGCATTTGAAATTGAAAGATACTAAGGACCTGTCTCACCACTGGCTGGTAGAGGCTCAGATGGCTTAAAAATGGCATTACTGATAAGGTAACAAAGTCGATATTTCCGTCACATATTTTACACGTTGGATTGTTATCAGACAATTTACAATTTGGTGGGACAGGCCCTTAGTATGTAATGTATAAGACTATGCAACATGTTAACAAAAAATTCTGAGTTCTGCAGCGGGAAGTGTGATAGCGTCTCGTACAGCGTAACTGTCAAGTAACTTTGGGGTGAAACTTTAGTTACAATATGATGCAGTGTGTTATATCGACAGTAACCCATACATCCCGCGGCGAACAGTGTGACAGCACGCCACATACCGTGACAGCTCACTCAGGTAAGACCAAACTTTATGAGAACTCCCGGCGTGTTAACAAAGTCGACAGCGACATTACTTGGCACGCCAGAGCCGACTCCAACCACGGTGGGCAGCGGGACAGCACGCCGCACAGCTGACGGTCTCTCAAGCTAGACTTACTTTTATAAGATCCCGCAGCGTGTTAACGAGGTCAGAAGCGACTTGAGCGTCACGCGGTACGCCAGAGGCATCTCCGGTCACGGCGGGCAGCAGGATAGCACGCCACATAGCGTGACAGTCACTCAGACTTACCTTTATAAGATCCCGCAGCGTGTTAGCGAGGTCGGCAGCGACTTGCGCGTCACGTGGGGGCGACAGTAGCGCAAGCACGCGGCACGCCAGCGGCGCTTCTGGACGTGTTGGGCAGCGTAATAGCGCGCCGCACAGCGTGACAGCCATCCCGCCTTGACTGTCAACTAGCTATTAACACAACAGAAACAATACTCAATGACTGTTAAGAGTTAGTTTTAATTAATAAAATTATGCGGGGTCTACACTTAGCCAGTACAGTTGGTCAGTAGCTTAATAACTGGACTGGAAATTGAGTTGTATAGTATAAACATTAAATGGCGCCAGTGAGTCGATACAATTTATGACTGTCCAACTGTACTGGCCAAGTATGAACCGGACATAACAATGGCGGCGACATACTTCATGATTGACTCTTGTGAGTGAGACGATAAAGCGGACCACAGCTTCTTGATCTATTTCAGCGATGGGCGAAGATGAAGGTGCATTTGCTAACGCCCGTAATGTAGGTAAAGTTGCTTTCTGAAATAATGAAATAATCATGAAATATACATAAAAACATTTTGTATAAAAAAAAAAACATAAAAATTGTCTTTACCTGTATTTGTTCCTGAGCACCGTCGACGCTAATCGGATATGTTTGGAAGAAGACTCCGATAATTTGACGCAGCATGTCTTCATCAGCTAAAATGTATATAAATCGCTTATATAAATTTTATTTATGTTCAATATAATATATGATATAATTGACGAAGGGATTGCAAATTTTAAACTAAAACTTTAACTAAAAAAGACATTAATCAAATTTTTACTACTACTTATTTCACTTCTTAACTTAAAAAACTTAGACAAGTAGATTTTAAACAAAAGTAAGTTAATTAAAGAAACGTTTAACTCACCTGTAGCAGGGTTGAACCAAAGCAGCAACAGTCTGCTCAGTATGGAGGGGGACTCCAAATGACCAAGATGTATCAGTCGACAAAAACCTTCCACTATTATAAGTCTGAACGACGCACACTGTGAAAATATTTAAATAAATAAATAAAACCCTCTGTTTTGTTATCATATACATACATTTACATACATAGAATATATTTACAAAATTGTTAACAGTAAAATAAAAATTTAAATTGTGACGACTATTGCTATCTCCACTTTTTCAAAGAGAATGAAAGAGACGGATATAAAATTCTGCATTAAAAACTTACTGAGCTATCCATTAGTTGCAATAATACTTTTATAACAGTGCTGTGTGTTGGACTTAAAGATAGCACTGATTCCGATATGCTTTCTGAAATAAAAAAAAAACATTAATTTAAACCACAGAGAATAAAATACTATACTAGTATTCTACCTATCAATTAATTTAAGTATAATAAACACCATTTTTTTCTTTTCTATATATGTCTATATATACTATCTTTTGCCCGCGATTCCGTCCGCGTGGAATTAAAAAAAGCAAGTAGCCTCTGTGTTCTTACAGACTATCCTCTACATCTATGACAAATTTCATAGAAATCCGTTCAGCAGTTTACGAGGTAAACTCTAACAAACATCCATTCTTTTCCATATACTTGGTAGTTAGAATTTAATATCTATTTTTTCGAATATTTTCTACCTTCATCCACCGTATCTTCAATAGTGCGGTTAGTGGTGCGCCTCTTCATTCTAGAATCTTCTTTAGCAGCATCCGCCTCGTCATCGAACACAGTGACTCCGTGCACGCACAGAAGATCCATCACGCATTTCAGAGCTGTCGTAACTAACGGCTCGTTGCTTGTATCTATTAACTGAAAAATTAAATAAATCTATACTTTTATACTAATATAATAAAGTGGAAAGATTTGTATTTTCAAATTTTTGTATGTATTGTAATAACTCAAAAACTACTGGGTTGATTTCAAAAAATCTATTAAAACCATTAAAAAGCTGTGTTATCACTAAGCAACTTTTTTTTTTAAATTAAATATTTAAATTAACAATTTTTTAAATTAGAATAATTTTCTTTTAATAAAAAACTGTTCATTTATGACACACTAGACTTTATATTTTAACGCTATTTTAGAGGGGAGAATGAATTCAAATAAAATGTCAAGCGAAAAAGAAATAGAATAAGCCGCAAGGTTTTCATGGGGTCCTTTGGCGAGGGGTTATGTGTTATTTAATTTTTTTATACATACTTTAGCAAAGAAGAATGACTTGTATTCCTTCGCAAACTCTTTATCTAGCATCGCGTAGAGTGCGACTGTCTCTAAAGCGTTGATTTGGATCTCAACATTTTTAAATATCTCCACCTAAAATAATAATAATAAAACAACATGATAATCAGTTTAAAAATTATTAAATTAGTGAGACAATGACGTAAACACATGCATTAATATCATCGTGGAATTTTACAAGCAAAACTCCTATATAAAACAAATTGTACGGATGGATGTTTGTTATGACGCATCTCCGAAACTAGCTTAAGAGGTTTAATAAAATTGGTCATAAATGTGGAGTGTTTGACTACGGTCTAGTCACCCCTTAGGGTAGGCTCCGAGCCCCTCGGTGGGGACGTGTAGTGAGCTGGTGATGATGATGTGGAGTGTAGTCTGGAAGAACACAATTTACTTTCTAAGGTTTTTTAAATCCCGCGCGGACATAGTCGCAGGCAGAAGCTAATCTTACTTTAATATTATAAATGCGAAATTTAAATCGATGTTTGTTAGAGTTTATAGCTTAAACTGCTGATAGAATTCCGATAAAAGGCATAGATGTGTAAAATCGTGTAATTACAGTGGTAGTGCCCGCTTTAACATCTTAGCACGAATAGGCCGGTACGCCCGGTGTAATATCACGACCACACAGAAGACAGGCGTGAAATGGAAGCAATTCCGTGTTTTGTCTGAAGAGTGTGGTGCCGGAGGCCTAATTTAAGTCCCTTTCTCTTTACCACCCTTTTCTTATAAGGAGAGGTTGGGAAGAGGAAGTGGATTTGACGGTGGAGATGCATAGAAAGGGGAAATATCCTCTTTATGTGCGTCTCCTCCTCCGTCGTATAAGGGTAGGCAACGCATCTACAATTGCGGATGTCTATGGGCAGCGGTCGCTACGCCAATTTGGCGGTTTCAGATGGCCGCTTGCTCGTTTGCCACCTTATGTTATAAAAAAAAAATTGAAGAACACGGGCTATAATTCCATACAGATGCAGTTTTGTGAAAAAGTTTTCATGTCATATCTAATGTGTAATATTAATTTAATACACAAACCTCTAATTCTTTAAATATCATTCGTAGTATAGGCGTTAGGGTTATCAGCTGCGGAGTGTCCAGTGCTGCGTTTAGTATTATCAGACATTTATTGAGAGTGGCAGCATCTGATTTACTTTCTTTGATAGTCTGAAAAACAACAAAATTATAAATTAAAACAACTATATATAAAATAAAATTGGTGTGTCTGAAATATTAAAAGAAAAATTCCAGATTACGGGAAGATGATGCATTTGCGTTCCTGATAACGAAAATCGCAATAAAATTTGTCTGTCTGTCTGTCCGTAAGCCGCGTTTGTTCCGAATAATATCCAAAATGGCTGGGCCGATTTCGACCGGACTTTCACTGAAGGATAGCTGACATAGACGGTTATATTATAGGCTACTTTTTATCTTAATATTGCGTGGACATAGTCGCGGGAAACAGCTAGTAAAACACAAGTAACTTAAAAGTTAGAACCATAAACAACGCATTTGAAGTGAGAATTAATTCTGATATTTACATATTACTAATACAAATGCGAAAGTTTGTATGGATGGATGTTTGTTAGAAAGTGGCATTAGAACGGCTCAACGGATCATGATGAAATGTGGCACAGACAGGATATAAGCTGCCAAGTTTTTTTTATTCTGTGCCAATCAAGTCGTAGGTAAAAGCAAGTAAAGAAATTGTTATAATTACTGGTAAAACAGGCTGCGGCTGAGGCACAGGTTGGATATTTAGGTCTTCCAACCTTCTTTGTATATCTTCTACCTAAACAAAATAAAACACATTAAAGAAACACTATATTGTATCAATTCTCAACTAATCTATCTTACTAATATTATAAATGTGAAAGTTTAGATGGATGGATGGATGGATGGATAGATGGATGGATGTTTGTTAGTTTATAGCCTAAACGGCTGAGATCTTGATTAAATTTGGCATAGATATAGAGGATAGTCTGGAAGAACACATAAGCTACTTGCTTTTGTCTTTTTCAATTCCGCGCGGACGGAGTCGCGAGCAATAACAAGTACTATTATAAAGAGGAAAGATTTAGACGTTTGGATATTTGTATGTATTGAAATAACTCAAAAACTTGTAGGCCGATTTCAAAAATTCTTTCACCATTATCACTGAGTAACATAGGCTATGGTTGGTGTTTTTTAATTTCACGTGGACGAAGTCGGGAACAACATCTAGTTGTTATTAGATTTAGATCAGGTTTTCACATATTTGTTTATTTTTTTTTTGTTAATTTGTTAAAAAATATTATATTTACCTTAGCTTTGCATTCCGCCGCAAGAGCATAGTTCTGTTCCCTGACGGCCTCCTCTTGTGCCTCCATTGCCACATTCAGCGATACCCGGAGTCTAGCTCTCTGTAAAAGAGGGAATAATTAATAAAAAAACAATAAACGGTCATTTCGCTATTTTGGCGAATTCCGGTAGCTCACCTTGCATTAAAAAAATAGTCGAAAAATTCGTAATATAGATGGGGAAAATTATATATGAGTAGATGAATGTTTGTTACATGTCCTTTCCAGAACGGCTCAATAGATCTAAGAATTTGGCAAATACTTAAAAAAAACGTCCGGTCTTCCAGACATTTTTTCGTGTTCTTACGTTTTTTTTATTATTTTTCAATTCCCCGCAGTCGGAGTCGCGAGCATAAGGTATGTATGTTTAAAACTTTACTGCATTATAAAACCTAGCTTACGCTCGCGATTCCGACTGCGTTCATTAAAAAAATAAATTAAGTAACCTCTGTGTTCGACCATACTATCCTCTACATCTAGTATGCTAAATTTCATCGAGATCCTTTCAACCGTTTAGGCTACAAACTCTAACAAACATCCATCTAAACTTTCGCATTTATTACATAAGTAAGAAGTGAGATACACACCTGTAACTTAACCTCCGTGGACTCCATAGCTGGTAACTGAGCTGGAGACACCTCCAGCTCCTCAGGGTCTCTGAGTGCTGATATCATGGTGTTGACAGCCTCCATCCGAGCAGACACGTCCGGCATCACCAGCTCCAGAGCCAGCACAAACGCACGCAGCACTTCCGGGTTTAACGGCCCGTAGTCACCTGAAATATTTCATTTATAATACTAACGTTATCTAGATGTTGCTCGCGACTTCGTTCGTGTGAATTAAAAAAAATAATTAAAAATATAGCCTAAGTCACTCACTGATGACAGCATTTTGATGGTTTAATTTTTTTTTAATCGGCTCTGTATTTTTTGAGTTATTTCAATACATACAAATCTTTCCCCTTTATAATATTAATATTGAGTATAGAAAGAGGAAAGGTTTACATTTTTGGATTTTTGAAATTCTTCCACCATTAAAAAGCTACATTATCTAAAACTGTTTCTTATCATTTTCAACATAGCGTAAGTTTTCTTACCAGTAAGTACATCAGCGATCAGATCCTGCAATGAAGTTCTGCCGGTGGGATCAGACACATCGTAGACGCGCAGCATCAGCCCCAACTCCTGCAGCACATACTGCCGCGTGCTGAACCTCACTGGATCCTCACTCTCCAAAGGGCAGGGGGACTCTACTAGACTGGAATAGACAAAATAGTACTTTAATGTTTAAATTCGCTTGCATATGTTTATCAATTTACATAGAAATGTTTCGAAATAAACCAAAAGATAATAATTAACATTTGTCAGGGAAATGTATAAGGATGTTTTTATTTTAATTGGATTCAAGTACATTGCACATATATGCAGTCTTATTATAAACATTTTGTATTCTACTAAGATTTTAGTATGAATGTGAATTAGCTATGGAGTTAGTAATATTCCTGTTATGTTCGTGTCTTGTTATGTTTTACGTAATTTTATGTATTAAAACATCCATTTGAGATGTGTTAGATAAGTAACATGGAAGAGGGAGGTGTCATTCATGGTATGTTATAGTTACCATCAGATTTCTGCCCTATACCTTAAGAACATAAAAATCCTGATTTGTGACATTCCAACATAAATAAATTACTTCCTAATTTGCTGAAAGAATAGCTATTTTACTAATCTTAAAATTATAAATGCTATAATGTAGATTGAGGGATGTTTGTCATAGTTTGTAGCCTAAACGGCTAAATGGATCTTGATGAAATTTGGGATAGATGTAGAAGGTAGTCTGGAAGAATAGATAGGCAACTCAATTTTGTTTTTTATGATTCAACACGGACGGTGTCGCAGGCGAAAGCTAGTAAAGATCACTCACGTTCTTATATATGCAGTAAAAACGACCAAATCTGGCAACACCGTCTGCAGAGTGTCATCATCGTCGATACTCTGTAAATGTTCAGCGAGGTGTCGCCAGTACCACGCACTCTCCTTGTTCAGTTTCTCCGGTGGTATCACTCTCAGAGTCTTGTCCGTTGGCAGCCATTCCAAAAGCTCAGATATCGGTAAACGTCTGAAATTGTGAAAAATTATAAATAAACTTCTTTAATAATTATATTGATTAAAATATCATGCGTCGCAATTAAGTTACAATCTAAAAAAAACGATTTTCATATATCATGTACGAAAAGTACAAGAGATTGTTGCCCTCGACTATTTCAATCTTTCTATAGAAAAAAAACGAAAGCCGAATGCTTTTTAGCTTTTATTCTACGGGAATGAATGCAGTTTTTGAAAAAATCTTTTAAAAAAAACGTTGGTGAAAAAAAAATATATTACACTTGTCAAACATAGAGAATAATTTTCTTTACGAAAATAATCAATGTTTTTTTTATTATATATTACCGTTAAGTTGCGTTAAATTTACGAATTAATGACGATATTTTTTAACAGTGCCTATTTGACGCCATAGAGTAATAGATTAGTTTGCTTTTTTTTTAAACCCAAAAATGATAAAATCACAATTACTTGAATAATGACTCCAGTAGTTTTCCAGCAACATACTGAGAGTCCTTAGCATCAAGGGTGTTGTCCAAACGTATAGCTTTCAATAGATGTACAATATTCCCTTCAAATGAACTCAACCACGCCGGTATTAAAATCTCTTCTACGACTCGACGAACCCTCACACTGCGTTCTGTTAATCCTACCTGTAAAAAATAATATTATAAATGCGTAAGTATGTTGTAATTTGCAGTCTAAACTGCTGAACATATCTCGATGAAATTTTGCAAATATGTAGAACATAGTCTGGAAGAACACATAGGCTGCTTTCTATTTTTTTTTCCGCGTGAAACGCGGCTGAAAGCTGGTTAAATCATAAATTATAGTTCTAAAAGCAATTATCATTAGCGATCATAAGAGCTACTATAAAAATTAAACTTGAATTCTTAAGCTTCATACACACTTTTTGGTCTAAAATTTATAATGTTTTGCTCACGACATCGTCCTCGAGGTATACAAAAATCTAGAGACAAATATAGCATTCTAATAGTAAAAGAATATTTAAAAACGGTTATAGATGATAGATGGTAAATGCCGTAAAAGCCTATGTTACTCAGTGATAACATAGCTTTTTAATGGTGAAGGAATTTTTTAAATTAGCCCACTAGTTTTTTAGTTATTTCAATACCTCATAATTGTCACAAAAACATCAAAATAGAAGAAGCTAGAATAACACATAGCCTACTTACTTTTGTTTCTTTAAATACCCATGGATGGAGTTGCGAGCAAAAGCTAGTCTCTTTATAATATTAGTATAGACATACAAAAACACAAATCTATCTTGGTATAACAGGAAAAGCAGGATGTAACCTAAAAATACTTACCTTAAGTGTGAGCACTCGCTGCCTCACTCTCAGTTGTGTAACATTCATAGCGGCAATGTAAAGGAAGGCTGCGCGACGCACCGCCTCGTCCACATCACATAGCCTTTCCAACACGAACGGCACATTACGAGTGCACTTTGCTATTGACATCACTATCGCTCTGAAAATGTTTCGTATGAGTCTCCACTGTCATAATACTTGTATGCATCTTGCAAATACTTTCAAAGTTTTTTGAAAAAAAACTGAGATTACAATGCTACTGAAATTGTCATCTACAGGTCATGAATTCAAATCCCGGCATGTTTTATTTTATATGACTTTCTTCTTATAAAAGAAAATAATTAAGAATAGGCAACCCATCTGCAAATGCCGGTGTCTATGGGCAGCGGTCGTTTTACCTTGTCAGCGAATTCATGTGGACTTCCTCTTTATAACATTAGTGTAGATATGCTATACATATGGTTAATCTTAGTTTTAATATTTGAAAATGTACCTTCTAACAGAAGAACTAGGGTCACAGCTCATATGGAAACGGTACGCTCTGGTCACCTCATCATCAGGGTCCATGGGGTTCTGCAGGCGTTGTAATGCCAGCCCAGCACGACACCGTACCGCACCTCGGGTGTCTTGTAATCTTTGCATCTGTAAAAGTTTATAAGAAAGAAGTTAGAGATTACACCAATTAGGGCTTTGGGGGTCGGCAAAAAAACAGATTGTGACAATCAAGGTATGGTGGCTAGCATTTGATATGGCTGGATGAAAGTCTGCATAAAAATACTTGAATATTAAATAACAACAAACAACTTTATATGTGTACTTAATGTTAAATACCTTAGATATTTACCACACAAAAGGAACTACAGATGCTGCCCTTTAAGAAGTACACTATAAGGATTAAATACATCACCTGTGAAGCGAGTAGTTTGTCACACAGGTCATCATCGAGAGATGCATCATTACCAAGAGCAGCAAGCACAGATGCTAGTAACTGACTTGCTCGATATCTCACAGATTGCCCGGAAACACATTGGAACTAAAAAAGATACATACATTTCAACATAAAACACATATTTAATCTTTTCTTTAATAATATTGCAGTTATTTAGTATAAATTAGAACTTGTAAAAGATTATGCAAAGGTAATATTTTAAAATGTTACTAATTTTTAAAAATGTTTTAAGGATTAATGCAAAGAGACGAAAATGTCTCCTGAATATTGAAAAATTTTATGAAAAGTCTTTGATGGTTAACAAGCCATTATTTTTGCATATGTCATATTCACAAGAAATATAAAATCTTTTTAGAAAATAAGTCACCAGCAATCTTTCCACACAGAATTAATAAATACTTTATTAGTGGCATATGCATTCATCCAAATCTGTTAGCTGTTAGGTAGATAAGATATACTTACATCAAAAATGATATCAAATATGAACATAAGAAACTCTTCTTCATCATCCAAGCTTGTGCAAAAGGTGGCTACAAACTGTATTACTCTGTCTACATTAGCACTAGTGTCTCCAAATGTAAACAAGTATTGAAGGGCATTCCTAAAGCTCTCACGGAATGCATCTTGATCGGTCTGTGAAGACAGAAAAACTAGGATAAATCTGGACATTTGTTGCTAAGTTACATTTATCAAAGTATTTTATAGCTTTAACATGCTTGATTTCACTTCTAACAAGTTATAAGGAAAATAATATACCTTTTTATACAGTTTAGTCATTTCTTTAACATATTTTTTGTGTTGAACAACATTGTATTGAACATTTTGGAATATCTTAAACATAACAGGGATATTCCGAGGATTTGGTTTTGGACATGCTGAAATCGTTTGAGGAATTTGTGGATCCGATGGTGCCATCACTGATTCTTTTTTATTATTGTAAGAACATTTAAATCTTATTTGATTATTATTTTCGAATACTCTTCAGCGCTTTACATTAACGTCAAAATTGGTGAAAATTCAAATTGACATGACCGTTGTATTTTGAATACTTTGACGTTTTTGCATTTAGTGTTACCATAATAGGATTTATAAGACGTATGGTAAAAAAGTATTTGTCTATAGTAAGGTGGTGATTAATATTTTAACCTTTAAGTAGCTATGTGGGGCCTGTATGACCGCGTCAAATTATCAAGTACGAATTGAGGCAAGCAAATAAAATAACTGTAAGTATTTAAAGATTTAATATGATTTTGTTGGTTAATTAGTACAATCATGTTTACAATTACAATTAATAGTAAAACTCAGCTTATGTGTAAATTATTTACAAGTTAAAAAATCGTAATTCAAATATGTCTAAAAAATTAAATCATTTAGCGTTGATATACATATTGCTTAATATATGGCTGCATTTTCACAATACAAATAATGTAATTAAGGCGTTCATTTCACTAAATAGAATTATTCTAATTAAACAAGGAATAAAAGAATAACGTTTGACTGTTTAGTTAAAATTGCCAGTTATTACTGAGCGTATACACAGGGCATGTATGCCTTGTGTATACGTTCTCTCTCAGCCTAACATGTATATTAGCAACCTGATTTATACTAGTGGGTTTTAATTTTTTTATAATGAGTGTTACATGTAGTTAGCTCAATAATGTCAATTAACATTGCGGAAAATGGTGGGATTTTTCGTATATTAAAAATATATTCCCGCTTATTTAATGAGTTATGTAAAAAAGTAAAAAATAAATAAATGAGCTTAAAGTCCTACGTAATTAAAATCAATAGAAAATTACATGTGACAATTAAGATCTAGACTTGACAAAAAGAAAAAAGCATTTTCGTCTGATCATTTGAATTTAACTTGGGTCGTTTTGTTTCTACTTGTTCCGCAAAAAAATTAAGGTTGTCACACTTTTTTGCTTAAAATATTTGCTAGTAGTTTGGGAAAGCTTATCAATTTTAAATTACCTAACTAGTGCTTTAAATTGCTATTAAATGTACGTTAATTCCATAGATGATGCATAAATTCAATTCAACGTACATAACAGTGTATTGTAGAGTATCGAAGTTTCATCATATCACAAATAACGCATGCTATGTCTTATTCTAGATCGTCGATTAGTGAGTCTAGCTCCTTCTGTAATGTCATGGACTCCTCTCTTTGCTTGAGTACATCGTCTTTGAGTCGATCTACGTTAGCCATGAGGAGAGCGTTGCCTTTCTTTAAAGCATTCACCCTGGTTTCGTGCCTCTTGAGACGTTTTGTGAGGTTATCCTTCTTGTTTGGTAAGGGAGAGTCCTGTAATTTCAAAAAAGGTTATCCCATTAAGTTTCTCAAGTCGAAAAGATTCTAATAATGATTTTTAACTATTCTATATGTGACATACAAAAACCTGTTAAGTAGTGAAAAATAAATTTCAACCTTCCCTTTTAATATCAAAAGTTCAAATATTAAGATATTTCGCTTAAATTCATCACAAACGTTATACTTATTTAACGGATCTAATATTAATCAGAAAAATGCTGCATAATGTACACTTTATTTTTTCTCACCTCTGGTTCACTTTCGCTCTCAGTTTCGCTTTCTGTGTCCTGCTCTGTTTCGGTTTCTGTCTCCTCTTCGCTTTCACTCTTTTTCTCTTCTTCAGATTCTTCCTCTTCCTCCTCCTCTTCTTCTTCTTCATCTGATCCGACTTCTTTCATCATTGCTGCCATCTTGTCTACTTCGCGCTTCAACTCTTTGTACTTTCGTTTTTCTTCCCTGTAATGGTTTTATAAAGGTTATTAAATGGATTTGATTTTATGATTTATTACACAATAATTACACAGTTTTATGCTTACTTAAGTGCTGCCTGTTGATTCTTAAGTGCCATCTTATAACCCATACGCTCTCTCTTCATATTGTCTTGCTTTTGTTTCAAATGTGAGATCTTATTTCTCATGTTTCGTATTTCTTTCTCGAACCGCTTTTGCTTCTTCTCTTCACTTTCTTCCTGCAATTTGAGAAAAAAATAATCATCAATTATGATTCAGTTTTTCCTGCGGAGGTTTGAGACAATATGTTTATCCTAAATTGACTTAATTTTTTTGTTACATCTCGCCTTCATATTTCATATACCCTTTTTCACACATTCCGTTCACATTTTTGGTAACTCTTAATATGATTATGATTATGCCTGTGATTTAAATAAATAATTTTACCTCTTCGTCCTCGGATTCTTCCTCTTCTTCAAAACTATCATCCTTTGTTACGGAGAGTTGCTTTATAGCGTGACTGGATCGTCTGGAGCCAACACTCGTCGGCATTATTCCCTGAAAATATACATTATAATTTCATGTATTTAATTATAGACACACAGAATGCTAAATAGTGGTATTTCTTAATGATTAAAAATGTTATTCCAAGTGTATTAAGATCGTGGTCCTATATGTGTTGAATATCTTTTATCTTGTGTTTATTTATATTTTTTCTCTTACCAAAGTTAATACAGATGAACAGAAAGAAATGCTTAGTGAGAAGTTACAGATAGGATAATAACGAGAGTAATATCTACTTAATTTAAAACGGGTCTTAAATTAAATCTCATGATGTTTATATTTAAATAAGTAAAATTAAAGTTATAAAATTATGACGTTACAAAGCGGTTGACGGGATCAATTGTTTTACCTCATCACTGTTAGAGTTAGTAATAGAAGCGTTAGCAAGGTTATTGTTAGCATCAGCTTTCAGTCGCATTTCCTCAGCTTCTTTAGAATTAACATCAATGTTTAATAACCTACACTGCCTTATTATATCTAGCTGGGTCTTTTGGTAGAAGGACAAAGGTTCCTCAGAAGCTAACAATTCTTCATATTTATCCTGGAATGTTTAAAGCGGTTAAATGTTAGAAGCATTGGATGTCTTAGAATTATTAATAAGTAATTTATTACAGAAATTATTAAGCGTAAATATTTGTAGTAATAGTAACATAGTACCGATAAAGCTTGTTCCAATTTCTTTTCCAGTTCTGCGTTTCTTCTCTTCATTTCTTCTAACTCCGATTGTGCTGTATCCCTTTCTTCTGCCGCTTCTAAATATTGCTTCTCCAAATTGTCAGCTGTCTCTTTCGCTTTTTCGACTTCCATTTTTAGATTATTTACGAGTCTCTCATCGTAAGCATCGGTAACTGATATAACAGTTTTGTGTTGTTCTTGTTTTATAATAGCACGTTCTCTTGCCAATTCTGCTTCAAGATTATGTATTCTCGTTAACAGGCGCTTGTTTTCTCTTTCTTGAACTTCCTTATTTCTAATGGAATAATCGTTTTATAAGTAATTTTGCTGTTAATTTAATTGTTACAAGTATAATATACGTTATTTACTAACCTCAATTCTATTGCAAGAAGTTGTTTCGTTGACTGTAGATCATCTCTGACTTTATCAATGTCGTCCATTTCATCAATATCCTCTTCTTCAGCGGCAGGAACCTAGAGATTTCAATAAGTGTATAAATAAATGTTTAAATTAGATTGTTACTTTTATATTGAATGAGACCCTTTGTCAAAAAGATAGGTTGTTACCTGTCATTATTCCAAGCTACAAATACTGACCTCTGCAACTCCTGGTACAATAATTCCAGATGGTGAAGCGGCAAGATTTGCTTGCGACATCGATTTTTGTACTTGTTCTTCTATCGTCATTTGTCTTCTGAACTTTCTTAATCCTTCTAAATTCGGTTTACTCCTGTCGTTAGTCTTGACCTTTTTAAGTCTTATGCCTTTGGAAATTTCTTTTAGTAGTTCATTGTGCGAGTTTGGCTTTTCTGATTCGAAGATGAATTGGTCTTTGTTTTTAACAACTGTCGATCGTGTGATGATTGGGCTTGACCTATCAACAAAGATAACACATTAATCAGATTACCGGCTTATATTGTTCTTAAAAAAAGTTGAGTTTAAAGTGGCGTATTCATTCTTAGCTTTTTATGCTATGACTTTTCTAGGTTATATGACATATACGTCAAAAAGGACTGCGAGCTAGTAGTAAGATAGTTTGATGTTATTCTTCGTATCTTACAAGTATTTCTACTTACCTATCATTACAGACGACATGTTTAAGCTTCCTCCCTTGTTCTACTTCTTTCATCATGTCACTCCAGTCGGGCCTCTTCCTGGGTCTACTGCGAAGTGATTCTATTTTCTTCAATTTAGATGGATCGAGAGGCGACTTCTTAAATTCAGGCGGTGGAGGCATCTTTGGTGGCAGTGGTGGTGGCATTGGAGGAGGAGTGGGTTTCAGTAAACCTGCACGTGGAAAAAAATATTATAGGTTTTGTTAGAATTGTTAGATAAATGCTAAAATTACATATGAATTGTACCTAGTCAGTGCAATTTTATTATTTGTAAATAATCAATCCTAAATGTTACACAAAGTAATTATGTACAATACAAGTTAAAACTAAAATATAACCATTTTATTATAACTACATAACTGGATAGCCATCTAGTTAGATAGATATCTATTACAAAAACTCTAACTCGTTTGTTCTACTAAATTGTAGATTAGTGTCATCGACCTAAAATGTAAAATGTAACTACAATAAGTATAGTTAATAAATTATCACATTGAATTCCAAGACAAATAATAAATAGTTAAATGGTCATACCTCTGAAATGAAGATCGTTATTTAAATCAGGCATTTTTATCAACAAAATTCTAACACTGAAAATAGTAAATACTTGTCGAAAATTCAAAACTTTTATATTTTGTACACCAGACCAGAGACAAGTTGGCGTATAAACTGACTTGTGCATTTGCACCTGAACGAGAGAGGCGCGCATGCGACGCACGCGGAACTGCATGCGACTATTTCAGACCAGATTTAGACCACAAACGTTGTCTAGCACACAGGAGATCAAAAGGTAAAGGATTGAAATAGCGAGCTAACTCGACTAATGAGATAGCGAACGGAAAATATGACGTGCATAAGACGTTAGTGTCATGTAATCATTGTCAATTCAATGTTAAGGTACAAACGGTTATTGTCTCAGTTAAAATAAAGATTACCTTTTGCTGTATTTTTGTTACATTCTTTGTTATTATCCAAACACCTTTGTATATTTATAGCAAGAATTAAATTAGTATTCATATAGACAAATGAGTAAACACCTTAAATAACTCTGAGTAAGCATAGAAATTTACACCCACGTTGTTTAAAATTGACAAAGAATGAGAATGGACGAAAATTGTACAGTGAATACTTTTCGACAATATTGGATATTTACTAAGTGAAATAAAACTGAATTCGTTTCTACGGCACTTTAGATAAAGTTAAATTTCCAGGAGTAAAATTAATAATGAAAAATGATGTTTTCTATGATATTGCTATTAACTTTTTTTTTAATTGCAAAACCAGCGCTTGGCCACTATCCCACCTAGACCAAGGTGAAGATGTGGTCGAAGGATGGTACGCGCTAGTTTAGTAAGTACCGATTCACCCTGCTTTTGAAGGCACCCACGTTATAACTTGACGGGAAGACTGACGCCGGCAACTTATTCCACTCCTTTGCTGTGCGCACGAGAAACGATGTCTCGAATCGCTTCGTTCGAACCCGCGGCACTTCAACTATGAAGGGGTGGAAACCAGCCGTACGTCTAGATGTCCGATAGTAAAAAGGGGATAGAGGAATGTATTACTTACTTCTCAAACTTTCGTTCTTGGTTAATGTGTGTCCTTTCGGTATTTCATTTGCTAGTGTTTTGTCTATATTCTCTTTCACTCGTTCGTGCAGTGGGTCTCGCCACTTCTTCATGTTAACTTCGTCTTTTGATGGTGCTTTTTGTAAAGATGCTTTCCGTGGCGCAGGGGGAAGCTGAAAGCAACATTAGTTAAGATGAATATATTAAAACAATACACGTTGTTTTGAAGATTAAAAGAAGGTAAGGAATGATGTTATCAATTAAATCTTGAATTGGAAGCTATTGTATTTTTGAAGAACAAAAAATTGGTTTTTACACATACATGACTATTACTTGTTAATTTAGTCTGAATTAAATTTATAAAAGTTATAATTTACCTTTGCTGTAGGCTTTTCGATAGGTGGTTTAGTTGCCATTTTTGTCTTGTCTTGAGAATTTTCTTCTACTTTAGGCTTTGATGAGACTTGTATTTTTTCTTCTGTTTTTGGTTTATCAATAGTTTTTCCTTTTTCTTCCGCTTTAGAATTTTCCGATTTTACCTTTTCTTCTACTTTCGATTTAGGTTTTACCTCGACTTTCACTTTTTCTATGGGTTTTTCAATGGGTTTATTATCTTTTTTTAACGAATTTGTTGGCAGTTTTCCATTTGTCGACTTATCGGCAGTCGAATTCTGTTTTATGCCATTTTTATCAGGTTGCTTTTGATCTACAATAGTAACAGTTTTGTCTTTGGCTTTGTCATCAATGGTTTTAACACTTTTTAAAATTGGCCTCTCTGGTACTTTGTCATTCTTCTCTTCCGAGTTTATTGTCTTGACAGTTTTTAAGTTAGACTTTGAAAACCGTGGTTTCTCATCAGCTGGTCTGTTTGCTTTATCGGCCTCTTTTGCTGCAGAAGGCTTGATCAGTTTTTCTTCTACTTGATCAGACACACCGTTTTTTGTTTTTTCTTTTATTGTTGATTGTTTTTTTAGTACAGCTGTAAATAAAAATATTTAATTAAAATATATTATTGATTTTAACTACATCTCCAACAAGTTCATATTAAACACACATGTTTTGTAGGTGAATTTCGGATATGGAAACCTGAGGAGATTCAATATATAAATCGTTTCCGCAATACATATAATATTTTTTTCTGTAACGCATATTAGTAAAGATATTCAGTTTTTGATTCTACAATGTATAGTTAATTAAGAACAAGTGTGCCGACCCCATATCGGTGCATGTGATGACATTGCATACGTAAATAAACATGGTCGCTGCCAAGATGATCGACCTTCACTGGTTTAACGCGAGAAATTAACTACTTATTGATTTAACGGAAATTTCTTGAAAGACATTTATAATTTTTTGAGATAGCTACACTAGTTCTTTACTATGTAAAGGAAAAGTAGTGATTCGGAATAGGTACGATTAATTTGCGAAAATTATGCTTGAAAATTGCATTAATCTTTGGACAAGCAACCTTCCCATGGTATCATTTCATGAGATCAGTGGTAGTTGCTTGGATACTTGTAAGAAAATACAAATATTCTGCTAAAGTCTTACTATCCAAACTCCCTTTCTGTATGAAAAGCATCTCTTCTATAATTCTTCATATTGTTTTTTACATCATTCATTAATTCATCAATAGACAAAAAATAATTCTTTGTTTATTTCTGCAATTCCATGTTTAGAAGGTAGTTACTTATTTATATTGTCTTATATGTAAATTGCTCTTCGAAAATATGAAGAAATAAATTGTTTTACTGGATTATTTTCGGCGTTGAACACATAGCGCGTTTTGATAAATCATAGCGTAACCCCGACAACTTGGTTTATTTTGTAAAATGTCTGTCCTCTCTAAAAATACCGCGACTCGTTGGCGTTGCCCGTTGCCCGCCACCAAATACATATCTCCGAACAGTAAGAACGTTCCGAAATACGTCATATTACGAAACTGGCGATATTTTAATTACCCATTAAAGCAATTTATTACGTTTCAATGATTATTCAAAATTAAAAACAAACATTCTAAAATATAACATCTTTCTTCGGTTTTAAAGATAAAGTTTTCAAAAACAAGGAACAATCGAAAAAAAAATTTTTGATAGTCATGCATGTAAAAGGTTAAGGACGGTGTTGCCCTATACAGAAAACAAAACATAAATTATACAGGTGCATAATTATTTCAATACTGCTTTGATATTGAAGTATTTTTGCAAGTCATGATTATATGAAAATCTGTTAAATAAATTAATTCAAGTATACCTACGGGACTCTTGTATAAGAGGTATAACTTCTTAACTTTGTAACGCACGAAAAACTACAAATAAGTTATTAGATAATCACTTTGATCACTCCGCCTGTTTGACGTCGCCAGAATTCTCTTTCAACACCATTCGACGTTACAAAATATTCTTCGAAAACGTTAAAACAATCCCGATACAGCACTTCTCAATATCACTGCTTCCCCACAATACTCCAGACTGGCAAAACTATGAACGCTTAAAGTCAACTGTTCGAAATCCATGTGCCCTGCCAAAGTTTCGGGCGAGATGTTGACGTCACCATGTAGGTAAATATATCAACCTACATACATATGCACTTTAAAATATAGCCCTCTTTCGAAGTGGCGTCGATGAAAAAATAAACAATCTTGCCACGCGCGCGTTGCCGATTTATTTAGCGTTCTACATTTTATACGCATGCGTACTGGCTGAATGAAACTTATATTTGACTAATTTAAGAAATTAAAAAAATGTGAACAGTTCATTTGTTTTTAATATCTGTGATAAGTTCACAACCTAAAAAGAACTTCAAACTGATTGAAATTTAGTTTTCTTTGTTTTATTAGATTAGCGTTAAAGTGTATAATTTTTGTTTATTAAGCTCTGTTAAACATTTGATTTAATAAACGAATTAAGACGTTAAGAGCCGTCTTTTCGCGTCCAGCAAGCTGCGTGCGCCGGAATGTCGTTTTGATCCCATTACAATGTAAGTCCGAGCTATTTTAGTTAACATAAACTTTGAAGTCTGCGTAAAGATTAAATATTGAAATGTAGTATTGTTTTTTAAATTCGATTATTAGATTTTTGAATCCAAACAATGCAACGCCATCAATTAATTTCTTATTAAGCCACCTTGTAAAAGACCTACTTCACTTGTCTGAAGCCAAAGGGATAAGCCGTGTGTCGAAAAAATAGTCGCGCATAAAAACTTTTTACATGATAAATTATACTGTGACCTAAATTCAAACTATTTAGTGCAAACATTTTAATATAGACAAATTAACAAAAGTTATTTTAAAACAGAAAAACATTTTCGGCGCACGCTGCATATTTAAGGGTGAGTTGCACCATATCGCCGGTTACCGTTAAAGTTAAAATTATTTGTAACAGTAATATTTGGAATAACCTTAAAATTTACTAAGGATGAGTTACATTAACTAACTATAAACCTTAACCAGCACATTCCCGATGGTTACGTTTTCGGATGTTCATGATATTCGCTACACCAGTTTTGCGCTGGTCAAAATGACGTCATATTTGACACTAATCATAACCGCCCGATTTTGGGCGGTTATAGTTAGCGTTACGGTTAGTGTCAGTTCGGTAGTGTCAACTGTCACAAGCTCTTATCTTCAAAAGCACAAATAATGGAAAAAGTAATGGAAAAAGAAAATCTCTACTATTATCCTATACGTAATCCAGAAGAATAAAGTCTTGCGTGCTCGGAAATAATGAATTTCCAAGATGGAACTCGAAATTTGGCCAAACATACAGTTTGGACAAATTTCGAGTGTCTAAGGCCATAGCAACAGCGCTTGTCCCTTTTCTCTTATTTAAAAAAATGTCCTCCATAAAAGGTCAATTTATAATATGCATTGACAGGACAATTTATAATATGGAAAATAAATAAGATGCATTTATATTTGTATAATTTTATTGCTTCATTTTTGCTACATATTTGAGTAGTAAAGTAAATACAGTTTCAATAATGGCCCAAACTAGTTTATTTTCACAAGAGTTTGCCTTTTTCTCCATCTCCGTGGGCAAAAAGTTTATTTCACTATAAAATACCATGCGTATGATACATAAATATAATCGGCGAAACATGAATTTCCAAACATTTTAAAATTATGTAAATGTCATTCTTGACACCAACTTGACACTTTAGTGACATTCAGGTTTAAATGTTTCCATTGTAAAAACGAAAAACACATAAAACCTCTGTGAGAATATGTTTTTGCACTTGTAACCCTATTATAACTTTTACGATAACCAGCGATTTGATGCAACTCACCCTAAAAGTTCATAGTGTCTGCGCCTAAAACCGTGCAGTGTTTTATGTTGCATTGTTTTGGTTTGCATTTATTCATATTTTTGGCTTTCAGCCATCTATTCAGATATTGGAGTACTAAATAGTCTAATGATTTAGAAACTAGATGTCGCTTGCGATTGAGACGCCGTGAATTAAAATCTATACTATGCTAGACTGTAATCTATCTCTTTTCGAAACATCCTGAACCTTTAAACTGTTCAGGAGTTAAGTGGTAAACATCTACACAACTTTCTTATGTATAATATTACTACGTTTATTCAGTATATGGCATGGTTTGGTGCCTATTACAGTATTAGGCACATTTTCAAATAAAAAAATCTATCAAGAAAGGTTTTATTCATTCATGATTCTTTTCCACGAGATTAGTTAAGTGATTGAAGTTACACATGCTAAAATATCACGAATCAATTCTTTGTAGAAATCCTGTTCCAACATTCCAAAGAAGCGCAATTTGCTAAAGCCGCGCATTAGCATTTAAGCCAAAGAGTTTTAATACGTTTTTTTCAAAGTTAAACGTAGATAGTGTTAAAAATATACTCACGTTTCAATGGTTTGGTTGTTGGTTCATCTACAGATTTAGTTGTGTCCATCGTCTTGGTTGTGCTGTCGACTGGTTTAAGTTTCTTCTGTGTCCATGATGGAGGGGCCTCAGTATCCTTGTCTTTGACCCAAGGAGGTCTGAAGCTATCCCGTCTCGCACTATTGTCTCTGCTCACGTTACCGATCGGCATGTTTGTCTGTGGTCAAGAGTGTAAAGTTTGTATGTAAAAGCTAACGAAAACAGAAATGGAACTCGAATCTTGTTTTAAATGAAAGTCTTTCAAACAATGCGTAAACCCGGCTTCGATAAAATTCGTGAATACCAAAAATGTTTTTGCATTGTTGTTAGCAGCTTTAATTCACAATTTCGACAAAATTACAAAATCTGTAAACAACTATTGTGTTGTGAATTCTTTCACGTTACGTTACTTTAACTATTTACTATATTTAGGCGTTTATTTGTAAGTAGGTTCAAAAAACTGTCATGTAAAGCTGTAATGAACTACGTGTATGTAATAACTATGTGAATTAATTCTAATTATATTAGAAAATACAATCAATTTAAAAACGAAATAACTTGTGAGGGCGTTATCAAAGTCGTTTGCAGTTATTTGTCTCGTATAAACGGGAGTTTCATGATTGTTATTTTTGGACAGCAACTGGAGGTTTATTTTAGTTTTTCTTATAGTTCTCATTAAAATTGGTATTTATAAAGAAGCCAGACATTTTGTATTTGTTTTGTTGTGTTGGGTTTTTATTGTTACTGTGATATTATCATCCCTTTGAGCGTGTTGTGCTTTCTTTTGGTGGCATTGTTTGGATTTAAAAGCATTCGATAGAAATTCCTTGTACTGAGATGTCATTTATTGATGTAGAGGTCATCTTTCTTGTTTATAATTGTATTGTCAATAGTAACGAAGACAAAGTTTAGTTTGCTATTGTACGTTGTAGATCGTTTTGGATTATGCTTTACAACCCTTTTTTGTGTAATATAAGGTGGCAAACGAGCAAGCGGTCACCTGAATCCACCGAAATGGAAATTGCAGATGCGTTGCCTACTCTTAAATGACAGAGGAGGAGACGCACATAAAAAGGACATTTCCCCTTCCTATGCGTCTCCTCCACCGTCAAATCCACTTTTTCTTTCCATCCTTTCCTCTTAAGAAAAGGGTGAAAAGGGAAAGGGACTAAAATTAGGCCTCCGGCAACACACTCATCAGACGAAACGCGGAACTTCCACTTCACGACTGTTTACTATGCTTTGATTCATTTAGAATTACGGTAGTACAAAGAATACCAGAACTAATTTAAACTATTTTTCTTTGGTTCGCAAAGGCATTAGTCGTATCTAATTAGAATATTGCACATTTAATTCGAATTCAATTCTATAAGTAAGCGATCCAAGTTGTAAAAAACTTTATTTTAAGTTAAATAAGTCATGTAAATACATTTTTTAAACTTTCTGTATATTATATCTGCGTAACAAGAATGTCAGAAACAACTCATTATAAAGATAGCACGTGATAGCGAATTGAGGCGAAATAGTTGGCAATGATTGTATTTATCCCGACTTTACGATACTGTTATATACTCACAAATAACAGCAAGGACAGTATTATGTATTTGCTTATTAGTTTTAGTACCTAAGAGAAATGAATTACGATTGAATATTCAGTGAAAGTTTCATGTGTCAATTGTTTTAATTTTTTAATTATATCATTATTAAATCTAAAATATAAATGTGGTTTATCATCTATACTTCTATACTATTATAATAAAGCGTAAACACACACTTCTTTGTTGCCTAAGATCTCAGCAATTACAGCATATTTTTTAATAATTCTTTTTTTAATAAAAAGCTCTACACTTACTTCACTTTAGGCTATATATTTTCACGGTATTAAACTTAGGGGGTAAATATTTTGGATAGAAACCTTAATGTGTGAAAGAGACCATAAGTTGCTGCCAACATCAAGGAAGCATGATTGCCATAGTCAGGAAATTGGTATTTTGCAATTGAGATTTTGACAAATGCAAACAAAAAATTTATAATTTCATGCGGATGAAGCCGCACGCGAATTGCTAGTTAATAAATAAGTTTTCTGTAATAATGAATAATATAGAATTATTTTCAGTTGAGACGTACTGGAGAAAAATAGTATCGAAAACTAGCACAACATCGTTGAAAAATTACATTCCAACTTAAATAGGTCAAGTACATATAATATTTGCTAGTAAATTATTTACGAAACTGTCAAATACAGTTTATTTTAATACTAGCTTTCGAACGCGACTCCGCCCGCGTCATATAAAAAAAAGTAAGTAGCCTAGTCTTCCAGACTATGCTTTACATCTATGCCAAGTTTCATCGAGATCCGTTCAGCCGTTTAGCCTACAAACTCTAATAAACTTTCGCATTTATAATATTAGTAAGATTAATTCAAATCTAATGAATTTGTTCGAGTTTTCAATAGGTACTTTTCTTACATCAATCCAATTGTGTTCGTGTTTGTGTACACAATAAATTCACTGGAATCACACACGAAATAACACTTCAATATATCAACTGGTCATATTTTTGTAAATCAGAACTAATAACAGAGTTATTAAGAGACGAAGCTACGTTGAACGCGCGTCCGCGACTACCAACGGCCAATGGTGTTCGAGTTCAGAACAATCCTGTTGAATTTATAAATAGGTGTGCCAAGGCGTGTACAACGTATTAGGAATCCGTTCTATCAACAGAGTATATTTCATTCTCAATCATGTATTAAGATGAAAGAAATTCTGACGCACTCATAGTTACACACTAAGGCATGTCTTTAGAGTATTTTTTTTATCATCTTTGTATATGTCTCCACTGAGTGGCTCGGAGCCTACCCTCAGTAAGGCTGACAAGGCAATAGTCAACAACATTGGCACACAGCGGGTTGGTTGACTTCACACATTTCTTTGAATTTCTTCGACGATAGTGTGGGTTGCATTTTTTTATAGCAGAAACCAAATAGTCTTGTTTTCCTTCCCATAATTTCCTTATACGTGTATGGGACGCATAGAAAGATGATATATCCCCTTCCTAAGCGTCCATTCCCCTGTCGATTAAAGGCATCTGATGAAAAAATCTGTGGGAGGCGGTCGTTACTATTTTAAACAAATTAAGGGTGAGTTGCACCATATCGCCGGTTACCGTTAAAGTTAAAATTATTTGTAATGGTAATATTTGAAATAACCTTAAAATTTACTAAGGGTGAGTTACATTAACTAACTGTAAACTGATGACTGATGGTTACGTCTACGGATGTCCATGATATTCGCTATACCAGTTTTGCGCTGGTCAAAATGACGTCATATTTGACACTAATCATAACCGCCCGATTTTGGGCGGTTATAGTTAGCGTTACGGTTAGTGTCAGTTCGGTAGTGTCAACTGTCACAAGCTCTTATCTTCAGAAGTACAAATAATGGAAAAAGTAAAGGAAAAAGAAAATCTCTACTATTATCCTATACGTAATCCAGAAGAATAAAGTCTTGCGTGCTCGGAAATAATGGATTTCCAAGATGGAAATCGAAATTTGGCCAAACATTCAGTTTAGACAAATTTCGAGTGTCTAAAGCTATAGCAACAGCGCTTGTCCCTTTTCTCTTATTTAAAAAATGTCCTCCATAAAAGGACAATTTGTAATATGCATTGACAGGACAATTTATAATATGGAAAATAAATAATATTCATTTATATTTGTATAATTTTATTGCTTCATTTTTGGCGCTACATATTTGAGTAGTAAAGTAAATATAGTTTCAAAAATGGCCCAAACTAGTTTATTTTCACAAGAGTTTGCCATTTTCTCCATCTCCGTGGGCAAAAAGTTTATGTCACTATAAAATACCATGCGTATGATACATAAACATAATTGGCGAAACATGTATTTCCAAACATTTTAATTTGCGTAAATGTCATTCTTGACACCAACTTGACACTTTAGTGACATTCAGGTTTAAATGTTTCCATTGTAAAAACGAAAAACATATAAAACCTCTGTGAGAATATGTTTTTGCACTTGTAACCCTATTAACTATAACTATAACTTTTACGATAACCGGCGATTTGATGCAACTCACCCTAAGATGGTCATTTGTTTATTTGACACTTTATAGTTAATATTAAAAAAAAAAGATTTTTATTCTTACTAAATCTTCAAAATTTTATAACACAATATATAATTTCGATATGGCATTAACTAACATACTATATTAAGTATATCGTTACAAAAAAAAAGTATGAAAGCAAATGTTTTATTGTTATTTCGGTTAATGAATGAAAAAAATGACAATTTTTTTTATTGGTGTTTTGGAAAACATTTATTTTCATGTAACTGTAAATGTATGAGTTATCAAATAAATATTTTTGGTATATTTTAGTCTTACAGTTATTTGGCATGTATACAAAATGTATCAGTTCAAATATTTTTGATAGATAAAGATTTTTCTTGTGAGTAATCGCTTAGATTAGATATTTTGTTTACACTTTTTTATGTTAATTACGTATGCAGCTGTAAATAAAAATATTAATGCATAGTATAAGCTTATCTATAATCTTACTAATATTATAAATGCGAAAGTTTAGACGGATGGATGTTTGTTAGAGTTTGTAGCTCAAACGGCTGAAGAGATCTCGATGGTATTTGGCATATATAGAGGATAGTCTGGAAGAACACGTAGGCTACTTGCTTTTGTTTCTTTTTATTCAAGCTATTAAAGCTAGTATTGCTATAAAGAAGAAAGATTTGTATTTTTGTATGTATTGCAATAACTCAACAACTACTAAGCCGATTTCAAAAATTCTTTCACCATCTACGTTATCAGTAACTAACATAGGCTATATTTTTTAAGGAGACGAAATCGCGAGCGACATCTAGTAATAACTAATGTTTTATAAATTGATATAAAGACCATATTAGCTTATAGCTATTTGACGTAGTTGTAACAACCCCAACCCAGCTTTGATCATCGGCTGGTCACGTACATGCACATGGGGAAAACAGTAAAGCTGCAAACTGAACCATTTTAGAATGTATGATTATGAAAATCTCATATGAAACCTTACGTGTGTGGCCTTCATTAAGGATCCCCTAGTGGAAGGTATGTTATTTTAGTTAAAACGCTGCAGCTGTTAGAGCGCGCGCACACCATTAACTAAAATATCGCACAACTGTTCTGTGATTTCTCTAAACTTATATGGAGGTGCGCACACTACTCGATTTTTAGCTGTGCAACTAAACAGCTGAATTGGCTGCGAAACAATAGACAATCGCACAATAGTTGTTAGATAATTTAGTCAAAAGTCTGCACCCGCTTTTAAAATTGCAGTAAAAGCAAATTAAAATAAAGCTTGCATTGTCGTGTTGTATTTTTTTTCGACCGGATGAGTTTTAAAATAAAATCGTTCCTCCAGCGTCACAAGAATCTATTTTAGAAGATTTCCCGTCTCGAGTCTGCGTCGTTTACATCGGATTAACGACTGAGACTTGTTATTTTATTTATTTAAAGATATAAATAACAATAAAAGAAAGAACAAGGTTTTTTTTTCTCCGTTAACAGAATGTTGGAAAAAATACTGCATAGAGAATATTTTTAGTATTGGTCAAGTAACATAAAAAATAATGAAGTTTTTATGCTTTGGTGTTTTCCAATAAACAAAAAAATGTATACACAGTGGTTTAAGTTTGCCTTGATCGCTATCGAATTATTTATTGTTATGCCTGTTTTTTAATGAGTTTGAGAGTAGCCCCACTGGTGGAGAAGGTAAGGAGTAACAGGTTAGCATGGGCATGTTATGAAGATGGATGTATCGCATGTTACAAGAAGAACGTTAGTTATAAGAGTGGAAGGGTACACCGGTAGAGGTAGACCTAGAAATAGATGGATGAATTGAGTGAAAGGTGACGTTATTAAAAATGGAATGATGACTGAGATGACTGACGTATGATAGTTATGTGGAGGACAAAAACCTGTTGCGCCGTCCTTACGGGAGTATAGAATAAGGAGGAAGATGATGTTTTTTATAATGAGACAATGACAATATTTACATAGTCATTCTACGATGGAAATCTATCAAAAATATAGGCATTGTTGTGACAGAGGTCAACTATCTTTGTCATATATTAAGATTTACAGCGGAAGGATATATTTAATTTACCATATTACAAGTTTGTGAAATAACGTCTCATCATTAACATTTAACCGCTGGACTTTCGCCAACAATGCTGGAGTTATATCCGTGAACGCAATTTGACGAAGGCGTGTCCATTCTTTCGACGCATGACGTTCTGCTGCACTGATTATGATAGTTAAAATATTTTTAATTCCCCTTTCCTAACCTAGAAAAGGCTCCTCCCCTTCTTAAATATATCCCCCACATACAATATCACTGAGACCTGTATTCCCGAGGTTCTGTGAAGGTATTTCATTTAGAGGGCTTTCGGTGTATAATATGACTAGCGTTCTCCCGCCACTTATTCCTCGTGGAATTTTTTTAAAAAAAACGAAAGTAAGCCAGCCTATGTGCGTTCCTCCAGACCTACGTCCACCTATAAGTTCCATCGTGATTCGTTCAGGCTACAAACTCCAACAAACATCCATTCATTCATCTAAACTTTCGCATTTATAATATTATAGTAAGTTAAACTTTCATGAAGTTTCTATCCTGAAGATACCGTAATGTTTTAGTTTATCAAAATAGCCGTAATAAGTCTTCATTTTCATGATCGCATTACGTAATTTCCGGTACGATTCTAATCTTTGATTGTCTTTAGTCGGCGCCGAACTTCCGGCATGGCCACGCCTATGCCCTCGCATTACTAACTTATTAAGGGTTGATGAATTATGTTGGAGAAAAAGAAAGATTTTAGGTATTTTTAATTTTTTTATACCTACTTAAAAAAATCTAAGGAAACTTATTCGCGTCTTAATCGAAGCATTCAGGTTTGGAAAAGTCTTTGTTAGAGAAATGGTTATTGTGTAAAAATTAATTATTATTTGCTGTTAAAATACCTGAAGCCAGAAACAAAATGAGTGTAAATGTTGGTTTTGTGTGATATTAGTTTGGCAACCCTAAGTACATGAGTTGTTAGGCACACCTATTGATAACCATTGAACCGCAGAAGATTTATTGGTTATAATCTTTGTCTACATGGAAGATGAAGTATCTAGTATAAATTGAAGGAACAACAACTAACAAGGTCGTCTTTGTGTGATCTGATATAGTTTCATAAACTTACATTATTAATTTGGTTTTTATTTTGGTAAAATAAATTACTATAATTGTTAATTTTTAACTATTAACCCTAATAGAGTTTTCAATCAACTTTTTCTTTTGAAATTAGAATCAAATCTGTCCCACGTTGAGATTTCATTGAATAGCGCTTGTCCAGGGCATTCTGTTTCCTTCACTTGTCTATGTCCAATCAGTTTGTAGTCACGACTGATGTAGCCCAACTCAACGCCTTTTGCTATCAGCTTTTTCGCAGTTTGAAGCTGATGGGCTGGTGGAACTGAAGCTGTTAAAACAAAACCAATGTTATTTATATATGTTAATGTAATAACCCTTCTTGCTTGAATCAGAATGTATTTTATTACTTAATAATAAAATTAAATATTCAAGAGCCTGGTAAAAACGATTAGCAAATGGTCCTAATGAACATTTGCTATTATTATAGTCTAGTTTGGTATTTAAGAGTTCATTGGTCTCTAAGATAATAAAGTTTTAAAAGTGTATACTCACAGACCCAATCTCCTATCAGCACGATACCAATGCTGACCGAGTTATATTCTGAGGCATGTGCGCCAATGTTAGTCCAGCCCCGACCTTCGTACACTACGCCATCCCCTCCCACTGCGAAACTGCAAAATTAAAAGAAATAATAGAAAAAAGTCATCAGTGCCCACGTTAGGGTATGGCGCGGTTGTAGGTCCGCCCACGGCGCCGGAGTGACTGGGTCGCTAAAAAATGCGAATTACCTGTCGTATATAAGCGTGCTAACGTTTTCCCTTCTTTTAAAATATACTAAAAAGGTGTGCCGTAATTATCTAGCCCAGGGCGCTTATAACGCTTGTATCGGTACTTTAGTATTTAGTGACGATAGGGTACAGTTTACTATTTATTTTGGTATAGTATATATGTGATTTACTACATTTAAATTGAAACATAAGCAGCTTGATTTTACGTACGATATCGTATCGTTTGCGAGTAAATAAACATAACAATGTTTATTTACACGCGAACTGCTTTCGTATGTCAACAAAAACTAAGTTGTACGTCGTGGCCTCAATAAGAGAACACTCAACTTAGCAGTTTATTTCCTTAGCACGGGACAGTACCGGGCCATATAAAAACCTAACAAAGTAATCGACTTTGAACTTTTACTTTTTGTCCCCTGAATACATTAGGACCCAATTCAAAAATGTAAACGATTATAGGTACCGAACATGGGTCACCATTATTCCTAATGTATGCAGTAATCACTTTGTATAAAATAATAGGTTATACAGCCAAATTATATCTATACTTATATTATGAAGAGGAAAGATTTCTATTCTTGTATGTATTGAAATAACTCAAAAACTACTAGTTCGATTTTTAAAATTCTGTCAATATTAAAAAGCTACTTTATCAGTAAGTGACATGAGCTATGTTTTTTAATTCAATGTGCACGATGTCGCGAGTAACAACTAGTATGGAATTATATCTAGCATTGATGTCATGTTAGTTTTGTAATTTACCGGGACAAAAAACCGGTCAGATTGCTGGTAACAGTATCACTTACTTGTAACCAATATCAACCCAATTTCTTGTAACTTGATGGAACTCCTGCATTGAACGCATTGCTTCCTTGCATTGGTCTGATGTTTGACATGCAGGTGGGCTGTAGCTGTGATGGATAATGACGTAAGGGACAGGCAGAGTCAGTGGTCTGACGCTAGTCGCTGGTTTGGCGCCCCAATCGCTTCTTGTTTTGAATGTGAATGTATCGTAATCTAGAAAAATAATGAATTAATGCAAAATTAGGTTGTAACAGGCATTAATAACGATATTTTTAAATAAATCTATACTAATGTTATAAAGAGAAAAACTTTGTTCGATTGTATTTAATAGGCTCAAAAAATACTGGACCGATTTTAAAAATTCTTTACCTTTACAAAGGTAATTTATCTGGGAGTGACATAGGTTATATTTTACACTGTTTTTTTTTCTAATTTCACGCGGATGGAGTCGCGGGCAGAGCTAGTGTAAAATATTACATATTAAATAAGAAAATAAAGATATGAAATATAATAATAATAAATTAGCAAATTTTAATTAGAAAAATATACAAAATTACTTACCAAAGTGTTCAGTTAAGTAGGGTTTAGAAAATACTTGTGCGAATAAAGCTAACGTTACCAATATAAACAACATTATCACTGCAATAAAAAATATAGTTAAAATATTGTGTTAATATGAATACTGTGACTACTTTTATACACAAATAAGGACTAAATGTATTAGCATAAAGTGACCAGTAGAATATTAAGATATAAAAAACATATAAAACAAGTTCGGTATATCTTCGAAAGGTCGCCACAGTAAATGCCCCTTATTTGAGACACAACTGACATAGAATGATAATATTTATAACGATAAATAACGAATAAAGGAAACCAACAAAAGCAACAAAATATTGTACATTTAAAAAAAAATGTGATTTGTTTAAAAGTGATTGACAACATGTACTCAGCTTTAAAATAGATGGAAATCATTGCGAATTAAAATTTACAATATCCGATATAAAGACCGCTACAAATGCTCAGTTTTAATTGACGGTTTTAACTTAATGTTCAATTAAGAATGAATGAATGACTTCTTAATTAAAATACTCGTACTCAGTCATATAATTGTGAGTACTATTATCGTTCGTTTATCGATATTTCTAGATTTCAACCGCGATTCGGTCTGCGTGAAAAAAAAAATTAAGTAGCCTCTGTAATCTTTCAGACTATCCTCGACTCGTACATCTATGCTAGACCACTAAAGCAGATTAAACTACAAACTTCACAAACATCCATCCATCTAATCTTTCACATCTTTCTTCTTACTAATATTATAAATGTGAAATTTTAGATGGATGGATGGATGTTTGTTAGAGTTTGTAGCCTAAACGGCTGAACAGAATTCGATGAAATTTGGTACAGATGTAGAGAGTACTCCGGAAGAACACATATGTTACTCACTTTTGTTTTTTTTAATGCCACCCGGACGGAAACGCGGGAAAGAAAGCTAGTTTATAATATTAGAAAGATAGAAGTCTTACCTAACGTTTTTTCAAATTTCTAACATTTAAATATAAAATTGTACTAAATCGTAGCCGTGTCCACTGTTTGTGATTGTTAGTCTTAATGATGTTGCTGAGCGAATGTTTCTTATATAAGTATGTATTGGAGATCAGATCACCGGACCATGGGTTCTTTACAAGTGAATTCGGATCGGTATTGTTGGCGCGTCATCTCCGCTTATTACTAATTCACCGTGATTCACCGTGAGATCTTAAATTGTTTTGATAGAAAAATGATTTATGAGGCTCCTTGATTTGGTTAACACATGCACTGCTATAAAAATAAGAATATTAATCGGGAATTTTTTTTAAGATGAATTTTCTCTAAGTTCAAATGACTGTATGCATGGATATTTGTGTTATTATTTTTTTTTTTAGTATGTTCGTTTGCATTCGAATGATTGGCAGTGAATGTCTCAGCATATGGTTTTTAATGTATTTTCTATTGCTGAAAAATCTGTACAAAAATAATGTCATGAAATCCACTTTTAGTAAACAACTAGGAAGTCATAGAAATTTATTGTTATATTCCGTTATTATTCATTTTGTTTTGTTTCGAAATGCAAATACATTTAATTGTAATGCAAAATTCTGTTAACTATTATTATGTGTGTAATTAAATTGTTTAAAATAATAAATAACCGTTATGCAGTTTTGTTCACGTATACCTTGTGGAAAACGTAAATATGTGCATTATCACGTTGTTTTTATTAAGAACTGTGACACTACGAGGTTATGCACGCCACTCCGTCCACGCGGAATTAAAAAAACTCTTAGTAACTCACGGCATACATGCAATCAATGTTCAATTCAATCAATTCTAAACTAAATGTTCTCTGTTTATGCTAAATTTAATCGAAATCCGTTAAGTCCATCGTCCATCGAACGATGTTTGCACTTTTATTATAGTAACGTGAAGTAAGATTTGTTAAAGCCTTAAACATGACAGGTTTTTTTTTAAGTATTGATACTATTTGAGACCCAAACACAAGACCCAATCAAATAAACATTTGGTTAATTTTTCGACTACACTTCATTTCTTAAAACTTAGTACGAGAGCAGGGACTGTCTATTAACTTTTAGTGATATTAGTACTTATGATTAGTATGATATCTAAACTTCCAGTTTTTTATCACTTGAAGTCACTTTTAACTATTTTATTTGATTTTTTGTTTTGCTGACTATGTGGCTGCGATCTCGCACGTGTGAACGTGTGTATCAACGCGTCCTCTCCGAACCCCCTTCTTGTAACTGATAATTCCGTTATACGTCATCGATTAAAAAACATTTTGTATCGGGTATTTAACAAGAATATACCAAAGTGACGTATATGTGACGTTCTTGAAGCACGTGTTAATATTTATAATGAATTAAAGACGTAACGAAGTCGTAGCGTGCTTGTACAGTGTGCAAAACAGTTTAGGTCATGTAATGTGAATCAAATGGACGTATTACAGTTTTCTCGTAATAAAAAGGTGAGTAATTACTTTGTATATCTATTTTAGTTATATCAAAGTTATCAATGCTAGCAATAAAGGATTCAGATGTAATATCGAGGATCTTTGAGGAATTCTCTACCGAAGATAAAAGATACTTATCGAATAAATATAAAATATGTTACTTTTCATTTAAAAACAAAATATTCTCAAAAAAAACAGTACACTAAAAAGTAACGAAATAATTCCTTGAAAATAGTAGACCACCCTTATTGTAGCTGTTATGTCTATATTGTACAATTATTATTACTTTGATGTTGGCGTCAATCAAATTCTTCCATACATCATTTTTATGTAAGTCTTATAGTTTAGGTAAGCAAAGAAAGCAAAAATGACCCTAAATTTCGTCGCGCGATTCTGAGCTAAACTATTTAACTACGTCGTAGTCTTTGACTCCAAAAATCCACCTGAAAGCATTATCTTTCGGATAAAAAAACAATTATCAGAATCGGTCCACTGGCGGCGGAGTTATTCCGTAACACACATAAAAAAAAATAAAAAAAACATACAGACGACTTGAGTACCTCCTTCTTTTGGGAAGTCGGTCAAAAATATCATATACACCTTTGAATAAACTGTCGCAGAACTGTTGAGCGATTGTCGATTGTTTCTCAGCTAATTCGACTGTTTAATTGCACAATTTAAAATCTAGCAGTGTGCGGCACCTCCATGTAACCACATAAGAATCAAAGCGCGAGAAAATAGTTGTGCGATAGTTTAGTCAAAAGTATGCCCGCGCTCTAAATGTAAAATAAACTAAACGTGTAAGTGTTTAGAGTGTTTATTAGGTGAGCATTTTAATATCGTGTGAGCGTTTGTTATTAAAGTCGAATCGATTGTGGAAAATTTCCATAACAAGTCTTATCACCTCTATTGATTAAGTCATTGTCCGCAACAACGTAGATATAATTATTATGTGAACGATGTTACGCCATTCGCTTATGTTTCTGTTTTTTTTACTTGTTAAACTTTATTATGTTCCTATCTACATTGGTATTTTTTTTAATATGATAGAAGGCAAACGAGCAAGCGGCCATTACCCATAGACTTAATCGACACAGAAGTCGCATTTAAAGAAGTTTCACAATACTCAATGTTCCATTGGACAGGCTATTAGCCGTGGTATTTTGTGCCTAAATGACTGTTATCGTTTTAGCGTTGGAAACCCGATATGTCGGTTATCTCCCTATTGTCGCAACAGTGATCTCAACTGGTGCTTTTATATACCTACAAGGATCTTAAAGCCTTTATGACGTTAACAAAACGGTGCCTGCTAGCTTTTAGAGTTACTAGTAAGCAAAAAATTTTTTTCGAAATTCTCTCAAGTTGCAAACAAAATAAATCTGTATGATATTTTTGTTTTTGTATTCGAATTTCGAAATTGTAAAAATGGCGACATTCACCCGTGCAGTTGCCGCTCCTTCATTGGTCAAAATATGACGCTGTCAAGATGACATTTTTATTTCATAAAATTGTCAACTGTCATTTGACCCTAGTTGGTTAGAACAAAACAAAAGCAATCATTTCCAAGCAGAGACCAGTCCAGAACATATTTGTAAAGGTCAGTGCTCTGCCTACTTTGATTCACGAAATTTAAAATTTTTCAATTATTAACAGTACAGATATAAATAGAAGATTATAATTAAATGGCCATAGCACCTTGACTTATGAATGATTCATAAGATGTTATCCTAAATAACTCTGGCAAATTAACTTTTTTCTTAACGGTTCGCGAGTTCGTGTAATGGAACGACATTATGTAAGCTTCGCGGTGATTCCCCTTAAAGTATGTTACATAATCGTAACAACCATTTTTTAAAATACCTGTTAACTTTTTATTTTTATTTAATTTAATCGTTTTTTGTTTTTTATAAGTATGGGTTATAGTCGATTTTATTAAATTATTAATTTACCTCTTTCTAAAATAACTATGGTTGTTTTTATTCAAAATTTTGGATCCCATGACTTCCAAAGAAGTCTAAATTTCATTCTTGACTTAACTTAAAGTTTTTTGAAGGCAAATTCTTAGCTTTGGTAAAATGACATATGTTTGCTAATCAGTGGATCCTAGTCTATATATCTAATTCAAACTAAATGTTGTAATGCTAGTCTTACGAACTTTTTCTGTGAAATGAATTGTCAGGTTATAATAAAAAGCTATCAATATATCTTGCATTTATCTCTAACTAATTTAATTTCTTTGATTGTTTTCGCGTTATAAATTTGTAAATCTATCCCACGTCGTGATTTCCCTGAAGAGGGCTTCGCCTGGGCATTCGGTTGGGTTGACTTGTCGGTGTCCAAGTAGAGAGTAGTCCCGACTTATGTGGCCCAACTTTACACCACTCGCTATCAGTCTTTTAGCAGCATTCAGTTGTCTTCTGGGTGGTAAACGAGCTGTAACAAACGATAATGTGAAAACAAAGAAAACTAACTATACTAATCCTTAAAGAAAAAAATAGAACAAAATTCACCCAGTGAGAAATATGACCTATTTTATACAGACAAAAGTTTTTTTTTGTGTTTAATGTTGGTACTCCTATATCTGATTTAAAATATTTAAATAAATACTAGTGATACTTACAAACGAAATCTCCAATAAGGACGATGCCAATACTGTCGAAATTGTACCCCAGAGCGTGTGCGCCCACGTTGTTCCAGCCACGGCCTTCGTACACCACACCATCACCCCCGACCGCGAAACTAGAAAATAAAAATTGTGTTATAAGTATTGTAAGAAAAATGCATGTAAAGATTATTTTAAATACATATCGCCGAAACAAATTGAATCAAGAAATCTACTTGTTGTAAACTAGCTGTTTCCGTGCGGTTTCTAAAATTTTAATTGGAAATGTCCAAATTCAAATGGTCAAATATCAAAAAAGGCTCTTGCCGTTGTCTGAAATTGTGAGTAATCATGGCAACCGTACTTTTTGCTGTTGGCTTGTAGTTTCGTCCCTTTCTCGCATAGCAATTTTATCATTGTTTCAACCCTTAACAGCGTCAAATATATAGCCTAAAGTCGAACGGTCTTTTTCATTTAAAAATACGCTGTCTGCTGATTGTTGATACTACATAATAAAGAAGTGTGTGTTTATTTGTTTCTTATTAGTTTAGGATTTTTATATACCAGACATTTAAGATTGTGGTTTTTGGAATAGTAGTAGTCAAGCAAACTCTTTCGCGGTTTATACTTACTTGTATCCGATATCATCCCAGCCATGTTGCAGTTGATGTGAGTTCTGCATGCTCCTCATGGCATTGATGCATTGGTTGGTTGTCGAACACGGGCCGGGTATGTAGCTGTGGTGAATGATGACGTATGGCACTGGCAGGGTAAGACGAACGGTGCGCACCGGCGGCCGCGCACCCCACGCGTTACGAGACATGAACGGGAAGTCATATGCTGGAAACATCATGTTATAGGTTAAATTGTATGCTAAAGAAAGCTTTAATTTGAATTTTTATTAGTCAAATATTTTTTTTTGCAATGTGGCTAATCAATTGTGAAGAAAATAAAAGGTTAAGAGATTTGGAAGGTACTTAATAGGTGATAAATTTGAAATCTTCTTACCGTTAGAGGGCGCGCACCGTTGACTAAACTATCGCACAATAATAATCTCGCTTTGATTCTAATAAGCTTACATGGAGGTGCGCACAGTATTCGATTTTTAGCTGTGCAACTAAACAGTTAAATTGGGTGTGGAACAATCGATAATGTCACAACATTTGTGCGATAGTTCAGTTAATGGTCTGCGCTCGCTCTTACTTAACAGTTGTTTAATTGTTAGTTAACTTGTTAATTTAATAGTTTTTATCGTTGAGAATTTTATTAAGATTTGAGGACTGAAACTCCTTTAGAGTAAGCAATTTGTATCACTTACCGTAACTTACGTCCTCGTCATAAGGTTTTGGGAAACATTGTCCGCTCGCAACCAGCGCAAGGAGGATGACACACTCGTAAAATTTCATTGTTTCTGAAAAAGAAAGTAAATTTATTTTATTTTTAAAACCATAAATGTTTATCATATTGCTTTCGCTTTAAACATTATTATTTTACTAGTCAATATCTCATTTCAGAAGCCTACGCATTTTAATAGGCATGATGTGTCAAAAATCGTTAGAATACAATATAAAAAGGTTGATGTTTGAGCTAAAATGTAGTTGAAACACTATCCAAGTTTTTTTATGATAAGGCCCTTGTGTTTATTTTAACGTATCATCGGAAGACGAAGCAATTAATCGATAATTATATCAGATATCTAAAGATCTCGTAGATTCCTTTTAGATTGCAACGATTATCTAGAAAATAGATGAAGCTAGATAAGACTTCTACGTTTATAATTTTAATATGATAATATATACCTTTAATTAATAAATACCTTTAATTTAATTAAACTGCATATTATTATTCAGTTTAATTATATTAAAGCACTTATTGAGCTAGCGCGCTCTATCCTTCGGCCGCGTCTTCACTTAGCTTAGGTGGAGTCGTGGTCAAGCACGGGTTTAATTATGTTAAAAAAAAAACTTTACACACCGATTGATTTGTAAATCAATAACATACATTCATTATTTCCTTCTTTTAAGAAACATACGTTAACAGTGTGTTTTAGTATAGAAATTTCAACTGGAAATAATCTTTTACTATTCAAGGTTTGTACAAAAGCATAAAGGCGTATTAATTAAGGTAACTACTAAAAATGCTTTTTAAGAAAATACGTAAATAGAAGATAGAAAATAGTTCATCGAATATTTTACACAAACATAACATTTTTTTTTAATTTGTTAGTGCAATTTAAAAGTTTGAAATGTAAGTTTAGATTTCACTTGAATGTAACTTAGTATCTGTTACGCAATCCCAGAAAGTTTTTTAAACAACAATATGGCATATAATTTTATTGAGAATAAATAAAAGAAAGTAAGTAATTTTGGACATTAATATAATTGCATCAACGATTTTTTTTAAATAAAATAACTTTATTAATTTCCCCTTGGGCAGGGGATTGGTGTCCAAACAAGGGTGTAATTCGCGCCCTGTGTAATTAAATTTACACAAACCGCTACCTCCCGCCAAAATGGAACGATATCCTTAATTATTCCGGAATGACATTGACAGATGTCATAGTGACGGGACGTGTATGCCGATGACCTAGTGTTGCTCGGTTTTTTGTTTTGATTATCAAATACAAGCTCACACTTTGCTATAAAACGCTATATACGCTGAGTCCTAACTGCATGTGTATGCAATGATTTAATTGTTAATTGATTACAGTTAAAGTTTATTATGTTAAAACTGACATTATGTAATATGCTAACTTCTACAGCAAAATTTGTACTAATATTGGCTTACACTCAGTTTATTCCTAAGTTTAACTTAATACCGTATTTATTAAGGCTGTTAATATTTTTGATGGTATTCGAGGGATGGAAAAAGGAGTCGGGGTTGGCAGCAAATAACATGGGAGGACGACTTTAGGTTGACTGCCAGTCACATTGGAGAAGAGTTACGCGAGATAGAAAACAGTGGAAGAGTTTGGAGGAGGCTTACGCCAAGAGGCACGCTGAAATTAGGGACATACTATAAGTCACTATATTTAATCTAATGTCAGAATAAAATGCTATTTTATTATAATATTATTAGGTTAATAGGGAAACGTACCTTGTTACTTAATTTAATTGATATCACAGTATAACTTAATGTCAGAAGCGACTATATTTCAGACTAACGAACTCATGAAAATTGTATCGTATATATTTGTGTGATAGCCGTGATAAGTTATTGTTACCTCTGATTGATCAATGAATGATTATCGCTACTTGGCTGATAACAGTTTTAACTTATGTTTTGCGATTTGTACGCACAGATTTATATGATAAGAGATCTTATATTAAATGATTAAAGCCCGTTACACATTTTAAATTTGAACAATCTATGTGCAATTTAAACTGAAGTGTCATGTACCAGTAACAATGATGACAGTTAGTGGCATGATAGCGTTTACATAATGTAGCGTATGTAGCTTGCACGTGCTTAACACGTTCACTACTTAACAGGCCGATATCGACCTGACACGGTATTTAAGTAGGTGCGGACGAAGAAAACTATGTCCCTCTCGCTAACGGGAAACGATTTTCTCAGGTGTATACATTATGTTTCCACAAAGTAATAGTAATTTAATCTATCCTAGTGCTGGTGGGTCTACAAAGACCTGCCATGCACTGGCAGACATATCATTGGGGGCGCATTTTGGCCCGCCGCCGCATCAGCTTAAGCGTGCGTTCGCACGGGCAGACTTTGTACGCCGCGGTAAAGTTCAAGGTCAGCAGACTTTTTACGCCCACGAGATAGGTGTT